CTTTTGTGTGTCAGCAACAAAGGATGAGGGATTGCTGCCAGTCATCCCAGTGACCTTTCAGCCTCCCTAACCAAATCCATCAATCAATCAAAAAAATTCTCAAAACAAAAAACCAAAACCAAAAAAAGATTGTTTAAAGCGGAAATGAATCCACGCTTTGGGCATTAACCGTAATTGCGCAGGCAAACACGCAGAGTGCGATAGATACACAGATACATTTGTATCTCATGACGCACAAAACGGGTTCATGCTCGGGGGTCCGGGACCCCACTTTCCTGCCACCACCCACTCTCCACCCCCGCGCCCCACTTAATGACCTTGTAACTCAACTGTCAACTGTCAGCACACGCAGCAGCAGAATGGCAACAGCAAATCAATAGCCCGGCCACAATTTATAGTATCCATGGCAATAAATTGGCCAGCAGCCCGCTTGCTGCCCGCCACATGTCATGGCTTTGGGCCAACGGAAGGCAAGGAATTCTGGCCAAAATAGGCAGAAAAACCAGGCGAAATAGATTGTCTGGGAGAAATCATCAGAAACCGCTCAGAGGCGCAGCAGCTAGCATTATCATATAAACAAAAGGGTTCCATACACATGCCAAAATGTAAACTGTCGGCGAATTTATGTGTATGAAATTTTATGAATTTATGAAGAAAGCCTTCGCATGTGGGCCTGACATAATGGTTAAACATTGTATTCATTTGGGCTATATGGCCCCAGGATCCCGCACTGGGAATACTCGTCGGCAACTTATGCATACGAAATGAGGAACGATAAATTTATGCGTTGAGTATAACAGATATTTAAGTGAATATCTTTTCGTTTTAAGGTTTTATGTATGCAGCCTATGTGGAAGGTATAATATAATGGTTATATTAGGCATTTCTGGCTAAGTATTAAAGGAATGCTCGTTTTTATTTTACTATGCTAACAAGTCGATTACAAAATACTCGACAGCCACATATGTAAAAAAGTTTTGTTAATTCTCTCTCTCAAAAGAAATTTTCGAATTCGATTTTAAGTTTTATGAATTCGCTTCAGAATATAATTTTTATTTCTTGAAGTCCAATTCCACTAAAGAATTCGGAACTCAAAATATTAAACTTAAATTTTATTATCAAAAATATTTCATAGCGATAAAAATTGCTTCAAAGCATTCAAAAATTACATTTTGCTAATAATTTTATTCACTTTAAGAAGTAAAACGTTCAAGCGGAAATGTATATACTGATATATATATGTACATTAAATCCAAGAAACAGCTTATCACATTGAAACATTTTTGTGCTCGCTTTGTTTACATTGTGCTAGACTTTCGGGGGAATTAGGGAAATGAGGAGGGAGAAGGACGTTGGCGGACAGATTAGAGGCGAGTGGGCCAGCGAAGAGCTAGTAAAATATGAGCATCTGGAAAAATACAAATAGTTTGTGCGATATCGCGGCAGAAACTTTCGCAAACCCTCGGAGAGCCGGCGAAATGTGCCTAAGCAAGCACAAACACAAAAGCCCCACTAAGGCCCCAGAACAAACCCTCAACAAGTAATGAATTACGCGTCAGACTTTCCGCACTCCTTTTAAGAGGAGCTGCAAACAATAAAAGAGCCAAAAAGGCAAAGCAGCTGAAAGCAGTTGCCAAAATGTTCCGCCAACTTTGAGGTACTCACACTCAGGCTCCAGAATGAATAAGTGTACGTGCGAGGGCAGTGAGAGTACATAAAAGCCTGCTAAAAAGTTTTGTTCTGCATTGTTATCAGCTAAAGGAAGCTAAATTATAAAGGGGCCAACCAGAAACAAACAAAACATAAAACATGGAAAATAAACCCGAAATCAGCTGAAGACCAACACAACGAAAGTTTTGACAAAAGATCTCGTTTCGCTCCGAGGAAGGAGTTACGATTCGGCTTTTGTGCTAAAGAAATCTTCCAAGGAGCAACTTTCTTGGCGAGATAAATTAGTAGGTCAGTTGTAAACAGATTACAGGCAAAGAAAAACTAAAAGCGAAATAGCATCTTACAAACAGGGCAATTAGACTAAATTTGATAGAAAAATATTTAAAACAAACAAGTTTTTTAAAACACTAAACTCATATTGTAGGTTAATAAATATTAATGAAATGAAACTTTAACGCAAATCCAGTCCCCTCAAAAGAACGTTAAAGTAGTTATCGCAAAAGTGTTACCATATCAGCTTCTTGATTCCCAACAACCTGTCACTCGCCTGCCCAAATTGGATACTTCTATCCGCTCTCAAACTTATCAAGAGGGCTTCAAACTGGGTTAAGGTTGAGTTTATCAGTACCGCCCAACCACTTGAACGTGCTGCAGAGTAGTTCCGTTTGACGACCGATCCGAGTACACCTCCCCCTGAGAACGCCCATCAATCCCTCAGATATTCCGAACATTAGATACCAGCTAGCAATTCGATCCGAAGCCAAAACGTGCAACCAGCTCGAAGACAAAGAATATTGTATAATGTTTTTTTCCCATGTACCACATTTTGACAACTGTTTTTTGCTCGTTTTTGCAGCAAACTAAACTGTTTCCCTAGTTCTCGTTTTTTTTTTATATCCAATAGAGAACGTGCAGACGTGCGAAATTCGGAGGAAGAAGAGGCCGTACGAGAAGAATTGGAACTTCAGCTGGCACCTGGTCGATATTATACCATAACTATATGCCGTACTATCACGAATGGCAAACAAAGAATGGGCCATGATGTAAGCCCGGTCAAAAGGCATGCTAATACGCGGAGTGATTAATTCATCGAAATTAACATAAATGGCAACAGCTTTAACCTTTGCCGCCTGACCACAGGTGGCCCCTATCTTTGCCCTTACCTTTGGCCCAACCTTTACCCTTTCTTCCTCACCCTGACGCCACTGGCCGACATAAATAATTAAATTTAATTGCCGTTGCTGCTTCTTAATGATGCAACCAAGCATCAAACGAGCCAAAGAGCCGAAAAGACCTCTGAACCCGGGACGCTTTCTCACCTGAAACCCGTTTTTATGAAAATGGAAATGAAATTAAACGAAGACTTCGTCGTCACAGGCAACCAACGACAAGTGACAGCGATGAAGGTTCATTTTATGAAATTAAGCAAATGCTAAATGGAAAAATAAAGCAAGGAAAAAGGGGTTTCCGCAGGCATTAAAAGAAGCGACATTTTTCCTTGTCACAGGGAGTTGGTTTAATTGAAATAGCTATATTAAGCAAATGATATATTACTGCGAATAAAAAATGTTAAGATTGCCTATTCATTTTTTCTTGCCACAAAAAGTTGACGTTAGAAAGCCAGTTAAATAAATCTCGACATTAAGTGACTTTCAAAACATTTTTCTTTCAGTTTCTTTAAATATCGCACATGTTATGGGTTAATCATTTGGTAATAAAGACATATAAACGCAATGCGCTCAGCCTGACAGAGGATGGAAGTAATTATATTTATTAAGGTAACAAAATATTCCATAATGATGTCTTCCCCACGAAACGATAACGCTCGGCCCCAAAAGATATCTAGAGCAATCTAATCTTATCTAATCTATTTTTACACATGAGCAACTTGCAAAGACCCCACAAACCAGTTGAAAATAATACTTGACCAGCTGAACTGGTTCTTATTTATGCCAAAAAATTACAATCTAAAATATATAATAAACATATTTTGATTAATTAGACGGCTATATAGTTGGAGCCTCTCTTTCTAGCCATGACACCAATCCGTTCCACAATCAACTGTCTAATCTAGGCGGGTCTAGCTAGCGGCCGTCTTTGATAATTAATAACAAAAGGGGAAATTCTAGCTTTTTGCCTTTTGTTCCTGTGATTCTAGGCCAGAGAGTTTTTCAGGCACAACCAAAACAAAAACCGGCAAAACGCACGAAGCCCAGACAGTCGAGAATCAGGCTAAAAGAGTGGGAGTTGAAGAGGTGGTTTAAGTGCTGCCATGGCAAAGCCAAAGGCAAAAACAAAGCGGACCCATTCAAGGGTTTTTCTCGAACAGCAATACACAAATATATAAAAACAAACACAGGCACAGCTGCTAGGAGGGCGGTTATAAAAATCAAATGAAGTTTATTGATTTTTCTTTGCGAGTGCCAAAAAAATAACGAGAAGAGCCAGCAAAGTCAAGGAAATGCCCAATAAAAAGTAATTTGCAAACAAAACCTCGACTTTTTCTGCAGAGAACTTTTTATACCCTAATCAAGTATAACGAGGCAATATCAATTTAACTCTTTCAAAAGGGGAAACCCAGAAAAACTTAATCACGCACGTGGACTTATTATTTATTTTGGTCGTGCTTAAATAACATTTTAATAATTTCTAAAGTGATACCGAAAATTGGAAAAACACAGTTTTTTACACTCCAAAATTATTGGTTTCGAAATTTGTAGGTGAATGAATTAAATATAGATTCTGTTAGAAAACATAATTGATATTTTGATTTGTTTTTTATAAATTATATAGCAATATTTTTATTAACTCGTCATCTGGACCAACTTTTAAAAAAACCAGTTATTTTTTAAAGATACATTTAAGATCTACATTTTTTCCATGTGCAACTATCTCAGACGGAATGCATATTTATGTTCTGAGTTGTTTTTGTTTTTTTTTAGCCCGCAGACAAAGTCGAAAGCCCGTTGAAAATGAGGAAGGGAGTTGATGGGCGGACTAATACTAAAACAAAGACTAAGACAAGAGCAAGAAAAATAAGAACAAGAACAAGAGGTGGCGAAAGAAGAGGAGGCATTGTAAAATGTCAGCCCAAGCTAACGGTGCACGAACACCAAGGCAACAAACAAACAACACAACAACAAACAAGAATGTTTTGTTTGATCTGCTGTCAGGCGAGAGTGAGATGGCGCCAGGGGTGGGAGAGGGACAGGAAGAGCGGGCGGGTGGCAGGTGCAATGCGAGCGAGGAAAAGAGATGGCCTACAGCCGGGTCGCGTGTTTACAACAATTGCCAAGCTCTCCTTTTCCGTTATTTATATACAAACTTACCCCGCTTTCTGCTCTCCTCTTTGCTCCTTGATTCTGCTGTCAAAAATTCCCAAGTTCCTATTTCGATGGCGAATTTGTGTGTTTTTATTGTGTTTTTGTTTAATACTTTGATTTTACTCAGTTGCCTTTTGAGCTGTTTCGATTAGCATGCTTCAATTTGTATGTGCAATTTTCACACTATTAATTTGTAATTTCTGCTTATTTTTGCCATTTGCATATATGATTTCACACATTGAAAGAAACTTCACAGCTGACTGTGATTTCTGCTGTTGTTGCTGTCGGTGTTTCGTTAATTCACACACACGCGGACAGACAGACGGGCACACGCACAAGCACACACACCTTTGCGTAGGTGTGAAGAGTGGAAGAGGAAGAGAAATGCAACGGATTCACTTTAGCACGCGCTCTCCCACTCGCACTAACGGACCGACCGCAACCAGCTGATTTAACGGTCAAAAACTGACTGAAGAATAATGATTTTCCATGGTGTTTTAGCCGGTTGTGGCTAGCAACATGTTCGATGTTTAAAGTTCGAGTTGCATGTTCGATGGGTTTGCTGGAGGGTGGGGGGGGGAAGGGTTGTGGGTGGTTGTGTGGGTCACTTCTTTCTTTCTGATAAACACTCGCTGATAAGCCAACACACAGAAAGACCCTTTGTAGCTGCCCCAGACATTGTTGTTTTCAGCCTGTGAATGACAAATGAGCCCGTATACGGCAAATGGTATATGGAATTTGGAATAGGGGAATGCCAGAGCGGGTCCACCCTTATGGATTATGGGGCACGAGGGAGCGGATTGGGACTCCCATGTCCCAGCGATTGGATAAGAGGTTTGCAGAAGGTCTACACTTATAGTGTGACGAACGCTTAAAAACACAGTGGGCAACAAAGTGGATATTATACTATTTTATATATGTAAGTAAAAGAAGAATCGAAACGAAAACGACCTTAACGTACAAGAAATAGTATTTTACTAATTCCAGGTTTCTCAAAAAGTCGAGTAATTGAATGTGTAGCATATAGCAGATTGGTGATCTCTTTGACATACGTTTAACTCCTAATGATTTTCATTAATGAAAGCTTTCTGACGCCGACTGAAAGAGATCTACTGAGAGTTGTTCACTTGTTCACTTGCTCACTTGTTCACTTGCTCACTTGTTCACTTGTTCACTTGCTCACTTGTTCACTTGCTCACTTGTTCACTTGCTCACTTGTTCACTTGCTCACTTGTTCACTTGCTCACTTGTTCACTTGCTCACTTGTTCACTTGCTCACTTGTTCACTTGCTCACTTGCTCACTTGTTCACTTGCTCACTTGTTCACTTGCTCACTTGTTCACTTGCTCACTTGTTCACTTGCTCACTTGTTCACTTGCTCACTTGTTCACTTGCTCACTTGTTCACTTGCTCACTTGTTCACTTGCTCACTTGTTCACTTGTTCACTTGCTCACTTGTTCACTTGCTCACTTGTTCACTTGCTCACTTGTTCACTTGCTCACTTGTTCACTTGCTCACTTGTTCACTTGTTCACTTGCTCACTTGTTCACTTGTTCACTTGCTCACTTGTTCACTTGCACACTTGTTCATTGCTCACTTGCTCACTTGTTCACTTGACAAATTAACAAGTGAACAATAATGAACAAGTTCGAAGAAATATTGTTCACTTACTCAGGTTAATGAGCAACTCTTTTTTGTTCACTTATGAGCAACTCACTCGACCAGTCCCAAAACGGAAAAGGCCAAATTATCGGTATGCACCAGTCAGTAAGGCTTGCTTATCGAAAAATTGTAGGACCAGAGTTACTTAGGAATCTTATCAAACGCGTCTTTTTAGTGTTGTAAAGACGGAAATTATTCGAGTCTTGTTCGACCATTTTAATTCCTGGCGGCAACTTTAAACCCTGGCGGGAATTTTGAATTTTGGCGAAAATTTTGAAATGGGAAAATTTTAACGACAAGCGCCCTACAATATATGTATATTAGTCCAGAAAAATATAAGTTAAATAATCCGAACTCATTTCCTCTGCCATTTTTAGCTAGTCCTAGGTCTCGACTGCTCATCACTGTGGCACGAACCTGGTTCGCCTAACGTGTTCGCCACTAAGCCGGCTGGCAACTCGGACTGCAACTCGCACGTGTTGGCCGCTGCACTTGTCGTTTGGCCATCTTCTGCATGCACGTGGCTCATTTGCATATTAGAGTTGTTTGCCTTGTTGTTGCTTTTTATTGTTTGTGTGTGTTTGGGGGGAGGGGAGAGTTGGGGGCGGTTTTAGCCACAGGGAGCTCAAATCGCAATCTTTTGTGTTCGGAGGTTAACGCAAAGCTTTCAAATCAATAAACCGTATTAATTAAAGTTTGTAAAAAGTTCAAAGTTGATCTTCGACGACAGATTCCATTGACTTTCGGTTGACAACTTTTTTTGCATTTGACACTGCAATTGAAAAGTGCAAAAAACGGACCACGAAATTGACAATTTGCAACACCGACGGAAGCTGTTTTTCAATTGCTTCGCTTTGGCACCTCCCCCCGTTTTCCGCATTTTCCGCCCGCCGTTCGTTATGGACTTTTCATTGGTTTTGTTTGGCTCTTTCAATTGAAACATGGCCAAGTTTTGGGGAAGTGCGAGAGAGACGGGGCGATAGGGGAGAATGCGAGGACGACACCAATCAACTTTTTCCTCTGCGCTGCATTTTTCATTAGTTTTTCTTATGCAGCGAAAAAGTTTTCTTGGCTCCAAAACGGGTCTCAAGTTTTTCACTGTTTGTTGTCATATATTGATAGCTCAAGTTTCTGTTTAAACAACTGCATTTGGCCATATACAATGCACTGCACTGCAAATATTGGCAATATATGGGTGTACCAGTAAGTGCATGGAAAGCTTTAGATAACAAGTATAAACATTTTCTAAATGTTTTTATGGGAGCGTGTTATTAAATACTTTTACAAATAATGTTATGAAGAAGCCCAGAACTAATAATTTTAAAAAGTCAACATAAAAACAATGCAAACATTTCTCAGATTGAATTAGTTAGGAAAATACTATTTGTTGGAAAACAACAAAGCAATAAAAAGATTGTACAAAATTAATAGATACCTCTTAAACAGAGTATAATTAAGTATTTGGCGAATTTATTTAATGAATACGTATGTTATTTTCGCACACAAAAGAAATATTACACGTTCGAAATAAATTTTAATTTAAAGTTAATTGACCCATCCGCTTTTATGACAAAAAGTGGTCATTGAAAGTGGTTTACTAACCAAAACGACTGGAAAAAGCTAATTTCAATACAGCTGTGCCACCTGTGATTTTGATTTGATGGCTGTTTTCGTTGGCGCTGCCAATTTGCCGACCAATTGAAAATGCAATGCACGCCCCAGACAAAAACTCATTTGCAACACTTCACGCAACGCCGGCGATTTCGATTTAGCCAAGATCAAGGGCGATAATGCCCGCAGCAGTAACTGCAGCAGCCGCAGCAGCAGCAGCAAATGCAGCAACAACCACTGCAACAGCAGCAACATTGCCTGTATGTATGTGCATTGCATTGCGTGCAACAACGTGCTGCAGATATAAATAGCCAACGGCAAGAGCAACTGGGCCCTTATCCATTTTGGCTGATCTTTACGCACAGGAGGCACCAGCAGCAGCAACACCAACAACAGGAACAACAACTGCTGCAACATCTGCAACACAAACTCAAGCTGCAACAACAACATTCCTTTCGACATTTAATTAACGATCGCGATAGCAATCAAAGCAGTTCTCCCACACCGATTTCCCCTCGCAGGTTTTGAATGGATCCTGGCCAGTTTGCTAGTTTGCCAGTTTACTGGTGGCCAGTTGCTTAGTTGGCCCGGCTAAGCTGACAAATACTGTAATTAATTTTAATTGCAGCGATTGGCGCTCGCTTTCCGTCTCATTAAAGATTGCAGGCGCTGCTCCCTTTTTTTCGCCTTCAGCTGCCGCCGATTTTCGCTATGGATAAACCCTGCGATTCCGAAGTATGCTCCGGTATTCAGTTCGCCATTCTTGGCTACGTGTTTTTACGCCTAATTGCTGGAAATGTCGCGTGGCAAATATTTTGTCGCCTTCACAAGAGCGCTCAATAAAAGATGAACAACAAGAGGAAAAAAATTATTCAATAGATACACTGGCAAATGGAAATATGAGCATCGGAAATGGTAGACAAAAATCATAAAGTTTTATTTCAAAACTAAAGTTTATACTAAAATAAATTTAAAATATTCCTAAACCTAGAAACCGCTAAATTCCACATCACAATGAATATATCTCATTGAAAACAACCAAATTAAAAAAATGTTTACAGATTTATAAGTGGCTTAAATAAGCCCTTAAAAATATTATTATTATTTATTATCCTAATATTGTAATAACGTAATAACTAAAAACATTTGGAATTCTATTTTATTTTTTCCTTATTTTGCGACTACTTTCGCGTTTTTCTCTGTACTTTTTCTCACTCATATTTTGCAAACCCTTGCACTTTGGTTTAATGGACTATGGAAAGTGCAAAGTGGAAATAAAAATGTTCATTTCTCGGGTCCCCGGAGGCTCCCAGTGGAATAATCATATAAAACACTTTTCGTTTTGCAGTTCATTGAGTGAGCACAAATCCAATTAGATTTTGACTCGGCTTAGCTCGCAGACACACCTACCCCTCCCTCCAAAAGACTCAAAAAAACATTCGAATACGCCAGGAAAACACCCAAAAAACACACACAAACTCAAATGTAGTGCCGAAAAATCGTTGCATACTTTGCAACAAAAATTTCCTCAAGTCAATTTGCCTGCCATAATTCTTGACTCAAGTTCAGTTCGTTTTGCTGGTGTGAGTGAGCGGAAGTTATCATGAGTGTATGTGTGTGTATTTAACTGGCATTTGTGTTGGTTTAGGGACTTTAACTTGTGGGCCGCAGGAGTGGCAATTGGTTTGACACACATAAATAGTTTATGCCGCATTGCTGATTATTGATTTTGCAACCAATTAAAATTCCAGCACAAACAAGACTGCCAAGCAATTTGATCCTTTTGGGTATTAAACTGAGCTTGCGCTCACGTCTAAGCTAAGGGGCTTAAAACGTATTCACAGAGCTCAGGCCTAATAGTTCAATTTCAAGCCTGTAATGGCAAAAGTTGAATGTGAGGAATTAATTTTATAAACGGCTTAAATAGAAAATATTTGCATCATTTAATAGAAACATATCAAATTCATCCGGAAAGCTTTAAAAGCATAATAAATATGTAAGTAAGCCGAGCTACATGGCTTGTTAAATTTGCACTGTTTAAATATGAAAGAGCTTATAGAGGAATCCGTTATTAGATGGAAATAAATTATCATTAACTAATAAAATATAGCTATAAATTATTACAAAGTTATTGTTAGAACTTCCCAAGAGCTTAAAAGTAAACTGTAAAATAATTCAGGCTGGCTATTTTAAATGTACTCCTCCATAATCCATTAGTTCCACATAGTGTCCCCTTGTATCCCAGTTAATCATTCCATCAATAGTTGTGTTCATTTCATTCATGCTCAATTAAGCTGCTTAATTATGCCCACCAATCAGGCATGGAATGGGTAAAAACATTTTAATTATTTTTAAAAACAATATTCATTGGCGGGAATATGTGCAAACATGACGGGTAATTAATCAATATTAATATCAACCTGATTACGGCTATTTACCGCAGCCCTGCGCCGACAACCGAGATTAACATAAACTGTCGATGCCAGGGGAAAAACACACAAACAAAAAAACAAAGTCATAGCGAAAAAGTTTTTGGCTGGGACACACAATTAAGAAGCCATAAACACATGGGGCAAAAAGCCAGGGGTGTTGGTCTGGATCAGGATCAGAATCTGGAAGGAGAAAAAAGCGCTGGCAGCCAAAAGTTGCAAAGTGCAATTTGAAAAACAGTAAATATAAGTCGCGAATGGGGAGCAGTTGGGGAAAGGGAAAGCTGAAGGGGTGTCCCAACACGTAGTTGGCACGGAGTCACGAAGGTATTTTCGCATACGAGCTTCCCTCGTATCCTGGCGCAGGATCTCTGCGTGTATGTAGATGAGCAGGCAGTGACATGACTTGGCAGCTATTCCTATTCGGAAACCCCTTCCTTGTCCCTGCTCCACCTTCCAAAACCCCCCTATTTCCTGACAAATGGCTCGAGGAGCGGGGCGTGGCAGTACAGGTGTTTTGCGGTAAAAGGGTGGGCAAAATGTTGGGTAAATGGTAAGATGTATTCGCCCAAAGGTGCAGCTGAGGATGACGAAAATTTATGATGGTCCCGGGCTCTGGGGCTGAGTTCTTTATTGAATTGCAAAGGGCTGAGGACGGGGTTTACGATTTGTAACCAAGTTAAATTGAAATACCCAGGGGTTATCGTTGGGGTGGTGCTTGAACTGCTGCCAGGAACACAAAGGTTAAAGCTTAATATTCTCGGGCTAAATTGGGTTTTCCCCAATGAAGGGGTATGCTGAACAAAGGTCGATAATCGGAGGTTAAATCTGATTAAATATTTACAGATATGTTCAGGGATCTAGGGTTCATCACTTTGAATTTTATATAGCAAACTTATAAATATTTAAGAAAAGTTTTATCATGTGGGGTTAAGATAATCAAGTTATTAAATAAGTATTTAAATAAAAAAGATTTTATATTTATTTTAACTTTAAGTTTAATTGAAGTGTAGATACTTTAAAGAACTTTTCTTATAACTTTTTATTTAAGAAAAATAGAGCAAGATAAGTTTGTTGAGAACCACATCAAAAGAGAAATGCAGCAAAAATCCCGAGAAGCTCGCCAAAAATTGGAGAGGGATTACAATTTAATTAGCCAGCGGTAAAAGAGATTAAAAAAAACTTTCAGCTCAAGCTAAAGTCCTCCAAGGAAGGCGTATCCACTCAATACGGTCGTCAACTATTGGAGTTGTCCGAATGCCTTTAAAGCTCCCCCATTCACAGGCATCGGATTATGCACACACACCCAGCTATTTGCTCATCTGGCTGATGCAGGAGCAAGGACGAACAGACGTTGCAATGTCCTTGCCATGCCACCGCAATCATAATTAGTATCCTGTGGAGACATGTGTGGATGTGATGCATGTTATACTCCACAGCACTAACAAAATGGCAGGTGGACTCGCACAGTAACGGTTGAAATACTAGTGGCACTAACTTGTTCTTGAAAAAGTAAAGTACCATTCTAAAATATATATATTTACTTTTAATGGCCCACTTATATTAAATACTGTTTTAGAGAATATTACTATATTTCGTTTTCTATACCTGGTAGTCCTATAATTTTGCCGACCATTACCGGGCCGGCGTCGTTGTTAGCCAGTGATATATTGGCATTTAAGCCGGGTCAGAACAACGGCTGGCTGGCAGGCTGTATTGCAGACCTGGGTGAGAGCTTTAAAGGAGAGTGAATGAATAATGCCAGCCAATTTGCCCAGGTGACAGGCAACGAGAGGACGAACGAACCGAACCGACTAACGGAGGAACGTCCTGCAGCCAAGGACTTCATTAAACTGCAAAAATAGAATTAGAGCACATGGCAAAAGGCCGAGCTGCTTAATTACAGCTTAGACCTCAATTAAAAAGCCCCCCAAGGCAGCTCAACGAGTGGAACAGGGTGTTGGGAAAGCAAACCGAAGAAAAAGCAAACATTTTCACATTGCCGGACAACAATCCACTCCAAAGTGCCAGAGCTCCTTCGCCCGATGACTGCAATAGCTGGCAGGAGGGTGAGTCGATGGTGATGACCATAAAACACCTTGGCTAATTTCCGCAAATTGTTACAGCTGACGACCGACAGAATGGGCCAAAACAAACTGCTGAAATGAATAAGGAAGAGACAAATAATAGAGGGAAAAGAAAAGCACAAAGCCGTTAAGGAGTAGAGCATGGAAATAGGGGTAGTATATCCGGAAAAATGATTCAATTGAGTCTCAAAGGAAAGAAAGGACAAGGGAAATGATAATATTGGTGAATGAAAAGGGACAGATGAAGATATTAGACTGACAAAATGAAGAAAAAGAGGTAATAAATAAAGAAAGCTTAATGAATTCTAGCTGTATTAATTTGATAATAGAATAGAATTTCCACAATTTCACAAATAAAATAATTCATAAATTCTCTTGCTTAAAAGGTATTTTATTTCTGTACTCTACATAGAGCTTAGAGTTACAAGGTCGGGAAATGGCGACCCATTAGGTAGACATGTCGCGAGTCCAGTACCGCATAAATAAACGGCCTCAGGGCCTCGAACTGCAGTGGTTTCTCCTCCTGGACAGAGGCCCTAAAGCTATCCGCCTCCAGCTGGGCACTTTGTTCACTATTGGTGGTATTTTCAGATCCCGCATTGATGCCCTGACTAAAGATGTTAATTTTGGTGAAAGCTATAACATCATCCAGTGGCAGCTCCGTTTTGAAGGCGCTCAGATCGGCCGTTGTTTTGTTGAAGACCGTAGTCATGCCCGCCTTCCTCAGGGGCTCTCGTAAATTCAGAAGCTGGCTAATGTCGACCTTTGGCAAACTGATGTTCATCAGGGTGATGTTCAATCGGCTGCGTAGCTTTCGCACATCCACGGTCCGCAACTTACGCTCCACCATGTAAATGCTGGCCTTACGCATTGGCAGCAGGATCAACAGGTCGGCACTGGACTCCTTCAGACCCAAGGCCACGACTCGGGTCCTCAGCTCCGGGATAAATCCGTGCCATGCCAGGGTCCTTCTGGCAACCAGAACTCGTTTCTCAATGTGGAAGCCGTACCGGAACTGCGCCTTAAAGTCCAGAACATTGAAGAATAGCAGGCGGTTGGCTGGATTATAGTCGCCTAGTGATTTCTCCAGACCAACGTTGATTTTCCCTTGAGTTTTATGTTTAAGAAACGCATTAAAAGGCTTGATATCCCGTTGGCCAAAGTGGGTCCTGTAAACGTAGGAGTCCAGCTCTGCAGCTTCCTTAAGGAATCCGGGATCTATGTAAATATCCGGTCGCAAGGCAGCCACGGTTGCGTAAGTCAACTCGCCGCTCTGCAGAAGATGACGCGGAGCTAGACCAGTCGCATTTTCTGTTTTCGGATATAAAACACCATCGATTTCTACCGCCGACTGTGGACCCACGGCGAAAAGGAGCAGTCCCAGGGCCTGCGAAACCCCCAGCGGTGAAACCACAAAGTCCTGGTCGTCGGCCAAGATATCGCCCACACGGTTAAAGAGTTCCCCGGCAAAGTTGTAGTCTCCGTACTCCCGGCCCCATTCACTTCTCGACTCCGGCGTTTCTTCCGACTCGTCGGTTTCCTCCGCCAAGGTATTCCCCAATAAAAGGAGCATTGGTAGTAATCCCATAATGGCCGCCATGGTTCGACTTCGACTGCCCGTAATTCCGCCAAGACATTGACTTTCACAGTCGACATCGATTGGACAGGGGGATTGCACAACCGTTCGCGGTAATGCCTTTATCGCTTTCCGCTTTACTTTACATTTTGCACGCTCCTCGCACGAAGATATCGGTGGAATACGTGCACTTGCCTCCCAGGAGTTTCGACTTCGCTCGGCTGACGCTATAAATTTGCAGCGCCAAAGTGATAATGAAAGTGTTTCCTTCCGTTTCGGGCAAACAATGTGCCAAGAAAAGCGACACCAGGCGGGCCAAAAGCCCTTGGGAGAAGGGTAATAAGAAATGCTTTCGTTAAGGCGACGTTTTGGATACCCTTATGTTCGTTATTTTTTTTTTGGCGGCTTCTGTTTATTGGGTTAAAAATATTTATACAATTTTTTATAGAACAAACTACATAATATTTTCAGTACAGTGGAATTTTTTCAAAATGGTAATATGGTAATGGTCCTTATTAAATTGATTCATTAAAAATATATACAGAAATGCCTTAGGGACTAAGTTAATAACTTAAAAAGTTTAAAAATAATTAATTTTTCTAAAAAGTTTGCTAAGCAGTTACAAAATTGCTAATGAAATCAACTTACCCCGTTTTTCGAAGAGCTGCATAAAACAAAAGTCAGTCCGAGGGCAATGTGGCGTATACGCAACTTGGTTACCTTCGCTTTCCTTCCGCCGGCAGCTTCCCTCTCGCTCTCCCCCTTGGGCCATTCATCTTTCTCTCTCTCTCTCCGCTGCGCTCCGTCGCCTTTTCACTTGGCTTGTTTATTGTTTTCCGCTCAGCGAGAGAGAAATTCAATTTCGGCGGCAAACACAGAGCAACAAACAAACAAACAAGCAAACAAAAACGCGGGCGAAGCAAATGAAATGCACCAATTGCATTGCTCGCAGTGTAAATTCTGCGATTTATGCCTTGGGAAAATGTTTTTCTTTCTTGAGTTTCTCGTTGTTAAACATTTTATTGTGCGCTTAAACCGATACTCTGTACAGATGGTAAAAAATAATTAAAGGCCCTGTGTTTTCTTGTAAGGAAGTTAAGGGCCAGCGGAAGAAAAGCAAATGCCAAAGAATTTCCGCCCGTTTTCCGCCTTTCGTGGGATAAAAAAAGGCCAAAATGACCGACTGTCCTCGGGGAATATTTTTTAGGGTAAAAGTCGAGGAAAGGAGGATGCAGCGGATCGGACTGAAACACTTTGCACAAAATGGCTGCCAGCCAGTTTTAAGTTTTGTTTGCTCACCCCTGAACGTTTTTTCACCCCCCCGTCGGCAAACGTTGCTTTTGTTATTTGCGTGACATTTTTCCGTTCTGGAAAACTTGAAGGGGAGGGGTGGAAAGAAGTTTAAGGAGGGTCACCAAATGGAACTGGTGGAAAACTATGACAAAAGATTGTAGTGGCAAAAGTTTGCAGCAACGTTAATTAATTTTGCGTTCGTCGGAGCCTGAATTTCGGGAAAGGGGAGTTCAGAGTTCAAGTCGTTTCCCAAGCCAAAATCCATTTATATGGCGTTAATGAAGTGCACTAAGATGAAGGCTTCGCCAAGATGATTAAGTATCCCAGGGCAAGCAGCCTTCATGAATCAGTTGGAATTTAATTGGTGAGTACTTTTAAATAATAATTATCTACAAAAATATAGGGAAGGTAATACAACAATACTCCTGAAAAAAATCTAAAAAAACCTTATTATGGAGATTTATTTTAAAATCAATTTGTTTCGCATTTTATAATATAAAGCATTGTGTGTGCAACTAATTTCGGTACCCACTGTCATGCTAGAGCGGAGATCTAGAACTAGTCTGCAACAAAAGCTGCTCTAAAGGAATCGTAGGAATCAGAAAATGAGTAGTAATATATAGAAAACCAATATTTAATTATTGAGGTTCATGTGATTAATGACTTCTATTTCAGACCCGCCATGGTCGATACTCCCAATGGTTCTTCTGTCGCTGGGTGCTGTCATCTCAAGTCCCAGCTTGTCGCCTCAACTACTCCACAAAGCGATCTCCGGAAGAGACCCCAAACCACCTGGCGTTCTCATCTTCCATCCTGAGATTCTCAATGTCCTCGAAACGCTTTCGGTTTTAACAGGTGGTGAAACCCAAAAGGAGTTCAATGGGTTATATGTTAGACCCCTTCCGAAAATAAGTCAAAGATTGGGGGTGAACCACACGCATACTCTGCTCTTAAAAGATGGCACTGATGTACTCGATTCCGGAAGAAGAGCCATTGCTAAGCTGACCCAGCTGAAGTTCCTCGATTTCACCTACCCAAGACGTAGTCTTTTTAAGTTTAATGAGGCACTAAAGGATACGCACCAGAGCTCCCACTTTCCCTCCATCCTGCAGCGACGTAAATTGAATGGGGATACCCAACTGATGTCCATCAGCACAGCCACAATAACCGCTCAATGGATACGAAGCTTTGACCCCAGAAACTCCGGATTACGGGTATTTCATAGCCAGCTCGATGAACACGGAGGAGTTCGTCCGGTGGCCATAGATTCGATGATTATAACGGGGTACTTCCTCTATGATCAATTTGATGGCCTGCAACTGCTGCACCTACCGCTGAAGAAAAACCTTACACTCCTAATTCTCCTCAGTACCAAAGTCACCAATAAGAAGTCCTATATGTTACCTAATCAGTATAACCCGCTCGAACTGCTAAAGAGAGGAAAGAAGGTGACCGTGAAAGTGCAGATACCCAAGATTGAGTTTGAATATCGGGTGGAACTTGTGCCCACAGCCCTCAACGAAATGGGAATTCAAAGGGTTCACAGGAAAGATGCTGATTTCAGCAGACTAACCTCTAGCAAAATAAAGCTTTCCAGCATGGTGCATGCCACATCTATTCGAATTGATGAGTTCGGCATTAATGAGGAACCATTTGAAGTCGACATTAGTAAGTTAAGAATGATTTTTACATATTTCTGAATATTTTTAATATTTTTTTTTGTTTTTCAGGGACATATCAAAAGGCATTAAGATCGAACCGGCAATTCATTGCCAATCGCCCATTCTTCTTCTCAGTTGTTACCCAGGAACAGGTCCTTTTCACTGGCGAGTTTCTAGGTCGCTAAGCATGTTTTATAAAAGTTCATTTACTAAATAACTAGTTTGACTAAGGAATCATATTGAAAACCTAACAGTAAATATTATATGAGAATTAGTTTTGCTTTGCATAAAATCTAAATAGAAACTGAAACGAATAGCATTTATTAAGCAGTTTTCTTACGGCACAGTTAAAATGAAACTTCTTCACAGAGCCAGAAGCCTCATCATGAAGTGTAACAGAATTAAACAAAATTTTGAGACGTGAAATCTAAAACCTTTGTTTCAGATAAAGTTTTACGCCTGTTAATATTGTTTTTAGCTGTGGTGCAAGGCGAGCTACTCAACGAAGGTAAAATACATCGATATATAGTGAACAGACATCAGGGATCCAGAGGAAGAGTAATATGTCATCCGCCTTTGATCTTTGCCCTCCAAACGCTCTACCAATTGTCGGATGGAGAAACCAGGGAGAGTTTGAATGGTCGTTGGCAGTGGCCACCGGGAGAGGGAATATCGGGAGAGTGGCCCAAAGTTCAGGGCTTCAGAACTCTACTGGTTAAGCCAATAGATATATCCGATTCCGCCAGAGAGGCGGTGAGGAACGTGAGTGATTTGGAGATCATGGATTTCGTGAACCCGGGACAACGTCTGTTTGAAATTAATCAAAGAGTGGATTTCTTTACAAGTCCCATGACAGCCAGATTAGTAAGGAAACGACATCTCAGCAGGCACACCCAGATGATTTCGATAAGTGCCGGAGTGATAGAAGGTCGTTGGAAATTTCCGTTTAGCAGGAAAAACACCAGAGATCGTCCCTTCTTCGAACAGTTTGGCTCAAATCGGGAAGAAAGGCTTGTGATGGTACCCACCATGCACCAGGTTGGAGTTAGGTATTCCTATGCCCAGCTGGCTAGTACAGAAATGCTACTCTTGCCATTGGCCGGTAATGAAAACGTAAAATTCATGATTCTTTTGAGCTCCGTTTTATACTGCACGGTTGACTTAAGGCCAATCAGTTTCATTATGCCCACTTACGAGAATCTAACAGATTTAATAAAGTTCGGAAAGGAGCAACTAGTGGAGGTGCAACTACCAAAACTGAGATTCACTTACTCAGTGGAGCTTGTTCCGCACATTTTGGATGATATGGGTTTCAAAAGTTTATATAGCGAGGCAGCAAACTTTGGGAGACTTTCGAACACCACAAAACTACGACTTTCCAGCATGATGCACACGGCAGCCATTGATATTGACGAGGGCGGCATTAATGAGGTGAAGCAAAGTTATGTTAAAGAAAAAGGTGGGTTAGGTGTTTAATTTATAGGACCGCTTTATATAAATAATTTATTGGTTTCCTACCATTAGTGCATAAACAGCGGCGGGATAATGGAGTTAAATTTTACGCAAATCGGCCTTTCTTTTTCGCCATTCTCGATCACAGGCAGGTCTACTTAACTGGCGAATATGTAGGTCCCTAATTTCTAGGAACTAAACAAGTTTAAAAGTATTAATCCAAATAAATAAACCACTATCTTTTCATTGCCTTTTTATTAAGGGATGTTTGCATAAAGTAAAGCTATAGGACCATCAAATTATTTTAATAAAATAATCAAAGTGGGCTTTGTACTGTGGGAGTGGAGATGCAGATATGCATGCAGAAAAGCGACTGCTTGCACTGCTTGAATTCCATTATTTGCTAATAACTTTTTTACGAATGGTCCGATTTTAAAAATTTCTTTTAAATTTCGTTTGGCAAAAATAAACACAATAAAATTGCATTTATACTTTTCCGACGTCTTTAGAGATGTGGGCGCCAGAAAACTTTAAAAATTGCTTAAGGGCGTTATGGGCGTGGCACTCTGATGAAGCCCAAGAATATGTGTGGTTAATCCCAACATTCTATCTTTTGTAGTTTCCGAGATCTCAGCGTTCATACAGACAGATGGATATTGCTAGATCGACTCGACTAGTGATCCTGATCAGGAATATATATGCTTTATACGGTCGGAAACGTATACTTTTCCACGAATACAGTATACACTTTTACTTTACGAGTAACGGGCATAAAAATGGGTTATATGCGAAAGCCCAACTAAATTTAAATTGTGTGAAGGACTCGCTAGTTGATCCCAAAATAAAGACATTAATTAGCTTCTCCCAAATGAAACATCATCTTCACGATATTTAATCTGTGACTCGTTGCCCTGATGGATCTTAATTTCCGGCTCCTGCTGCTGCTGCCCCGTTCACCAACTGTCTTTCGGGGTCGGAATGACCCACATTAGGAATGTGTAATTAAGAGCATCGCTGGCCGGCAAATTCCCCCGCCTCTTATGCTAATGACCAAAGTGAATTGTTGCTGGTGCGGCTGAAGTTGCTGTGGCCCCGTTGTTGTTTGCCGTTTGCTTGTGTGAATTCCTGACAGCGATAAAAATGTTTCGCTTTGGCCGCCCACTGCCCCGCCCCCTGATGGCATGTTTAGTCAGCGGCTTATGCGACGTATGCGTAATGTTAAAGCGACGACCAGGGGACAGGGGAATTCGGGATGAATATATGTCCCAAAGTCAAGGGATCTCTCGTCTGTATGAATTGATTGACACGGGAAGCGGCATCGGGAGCATCGGGAGCAACGGCGGCAACAAAATGTGACTGCCAAACAACTATATTTGCGAGAAGTGGCATTCATGAAATATTCATGCAGGCAAAAAACCCGGCTCTCTGATGCTGCCGTTCAGAATATCCAGGCCCTGGAGTTGACGTCGAGGGGCATCAGGATTTATTGGGCTGCCAGGCGGAGTGGATGAAAGTTGAAGAGTGCAGTGCAGCCAGCAATTGTTGCAGTTCGATGAAAGCGATCGGAATTGCGGCAAGGGCGCAGCATAATCCATATTAAAGTGGGCAGGCTGAATAAATGCCATATTCCAGGAATTCCGAACTATTTATATTATAGGAGCAAACAATTCAACAAAATTGTCTGATAATTTTTTAAAGTTTTTTAAGGATACCAATAATGATTATCATACTTTTATTATATATACCTAAAAAAAATTAATAAAGATAGAAGGCTATACGTTTAGGTATTTTAAAAGTTTAACTCGCTTAGATTTTTGAAAATATTTATAAAGTTTTTGTTAATATAAAGAAATTAGTTTGAGTCCATAATAAATAATGAGTATTACTAACAATTCTCCATCAACTAGCACTATGTCTGAAAAGCTCCTCACTTCTTATCAAAAGCCATAATCTGTTCTTACACTTTTTTCCACATTTTTCTTCGGTCTTCTGCATTTTTTCCCAGCTTCAACCAAATTCAATCTCATCTGGCCTCTTTACTGCACGACTTGCTCCTGGATTCGGACAAATCGTTTATTTGGTTAGCTTAAGATTGACCCACATTTGACACAGCTCAAGTTTTCCCTGCCACTCGAGCACACAGTGGATACGTACTCCCATGTTTGTCCAACTTGATAGTCCCAGCTACCAGATCTCGGCTCACAGCTCACCTCACGACCTTGTTGGTTAGCATTGGGAAAAGCAGCTGCTGAGACCAGGGAAAATCACACCCAGAGAAAAAAAGAATTAAAATAACATTTTGATACTCCTAATTAATTTTTAAAAATTTTGAGAATTTCCTAAAGCAATTGATTTTTAAATTAACTTATTATAAATATATAAGTTAAAACAGGACCTGTATATAATAGCTTTGTAGTCAATATGTATATTTTTTTAATGCCTCGACAATTTTATCCTATTCTCTACTTTCTCCACTCATTTTTACCTATAATTTGAATATTATTTTAGGCCACACTAAAACATCTGAAAAACTATTTAAAAAATAACTTTAGGTTACTTTAGGTCGCCATAACTAAGTCGTTTGTGGTTTATGGTTCTAGTTTTCCAACTCCGATTGTGTTTTTCTGTGTGCAGATGCAAAGGCAAACTTTAAAAGCGTCCAGGCCGATGGCATTGGGAAAACAGCATCGATGTCGCCGGGCACCACACAAACTATAAATTGGCTTAAGCCCCGGACCAGCTCAGTCGACCAGTTTGGAGTGTGTCCCCATTCTCGATCCCGACTCCCTCCGATGTGGGTTCCATATCCGGGGGAATCCAGGGGAGGTGGCAACAACGTTTGACACTTTTGAACTTTGATGTACGGCACTCAATCTCTGACGTTGGATGCAGGCTGAAAAGTTTCTTTGTGGCTTGTCATGTCTTCCATTTGATTTGCAATGATTTTTGCTAATTTTCCATGGCATTCGCTTTGACAAGTTTTCAGCTTTTGGCTGGCCAAGATTCCCACGACATCTGCCGCTTGTTCGGCATCATCGTCGTCATCGGCATTGAAAAAGTTTACCCACTCCCGAAGGCGAACCTGTTTTTCTTTTACCTTCTTTTTGCGTCTTCATGGATTGCATTTCGGTACTTTTTTTAAGGTGCCAGGCCAAGCCCCATTATTATTATTGTGATTAGGATGAAATTAGTTTTTTGTCACGCCAACTTTATCGCTGAATCAGCTGTAGAAAAGTGAAAACTTTAACGACCAGTGAAAATCTTTGGCATTACCTTGCACATTGGCGATTTCAGTGAGCTGAACAAGAATATTTCGTTGAAAATTAAAAGGAGGAAATATAAAAATGGTTCAATTTCCATCAATTACGCTTCGATTAAGGCATTAATCAAAACTCGACTCGAACGGAAAGCCAGAACCAAACTTCGCATTCATCATCGTCATCATTAGGGGCACAAAGTTGAGGTCCCTCGACATTCGTGCGCCAATTAAAAATTCATTCGCGGAATTTCCATTTTCACTTCCCTTCCTGAAACCACTAACCTCTTTCTGTTTGATATTCGTTTTAAATTAATATTAATTGCGATTCCGATTCCAATTCCGTTTGCTTTAGCAGGCCATTGTGGTGGATTAAACCCTCTGCCAGCGGTGTTCCGCCATTTTGCTTTATCCTCCAAACAAAAGTGGCGTCGAAATGGCTCCAGCCCGCAAGCAAGGGTTAAGAACTTTATCAAGTTGGAAAGCAGTGCTTTTCATTGAATTAAATGCACCAGAAGCACCCTGAAAACGAAAGACCCCAATGGTTTCTTGTTCCAGCCCAGAAAGTCACTGAAATAAAATAAACACGAAAACTTAAATTATATTTATGAATTTTTACTGCTTTATTATTAGGATAGGATTATTATTATTAGTCTTTGTTGGTAAAGCTCCTTTTTAAAGAATTTCTAGACAACTCTTATTTCTGTTGTATAATCATAAATTAGTACAACTTTTAAGGTACTAGTTAGAATACGTAAAAACGGGACATAGGATCCAAAGAAATAAATATTTTTCTAAGTGAACATAATACGGCTCATGCTTTTATATGTACCGTGTTGTTGCTTGCGGCCGACATTCTAGAGAATCCTGGAAAACCAACGAGAAGCAGAACCACATCCACTCCCCCTCTTGAATAATGAAAATTGAATTATATGCTTAATAAAGCCTTCTCCAGAAAGTTGCTCTACATCTCAACGGAAAGTGAAGCTAAATGAGACGAGAGATGCTCGATTTGCATTTCATCCGTCTTCTAATTTGGCCAACATAACATTTCTGATTCATGGCTGTGTATTTACGAAGTTATGAATGTGTATTTAGCTTAAAGCAGCAATTAGCATTTCGTAGCTTGAAGGGAAAAGCAGAGGTTCGTACAGAAATTCGCAATTCCAATGCAGCTGAGTGCATTCAAGGTATGCAGTACCAAGTATTTAGATCTTTTAGCCAATTTATTTATTGATTCATAAATAAATAAATTTAATAATTTTCATTACAAATGCTGACTTTGTTTACTGTTAAGTTTCTGGTTGAACTTACATCATTTACAAGGCAAATGTAACTTACCCGTAAGCAATATTTATTAGAATTGAAAGCCATAAAATCGAATAATAACGGAAATGCCTGTGGCGTCCCAATTAAAATGTGCCGCTGTCTTCTATTTATTCATCACACAGCCTGGGGCCACTCGGCACTTCCACTAATTCACTAATTCGTATTTACACTCTCTAATTGAAAGATCCACATATCTGTTTGTTTTTAGTAGTAATACGGAATTAACTTTCTGCCATTTACTTTATTTTTCTGGGTTATAAAGAATAAGAAAGGAAGCTAGCTTCGGCCAGCCAAAGCTCATATACCTTTGCAGATAAAGTAAATACATATAGTTTTATGCTCAGTGAGCATTAAGAATAGGTGATTTGCGACTCACTTCCTCAGAGAACGATACAGTGATATCAAATATATAGTTTGTTTCATTTAAAGTTGCAGATAATGTGGTGTCTTTGAACGATCAGAACTACAACAAGAAAGAAGAATTCGGCCAGCCGAAGCTTATATAACCTTGCAGATTCTTATGGGAGCCTTTCGATATAGTGGTCCGATCCGGCTCGCTCCGACATATGTACTACCTGCAATAGAAAGAAGACTTTTGGGAAAGTTTTATCGCGATAGCTTAAAAACTGAGAGACTTGTTCGCATAGAAACGGACAGACGGACATGGCTAAATGGCTATAGGTGCTGATCTAGAATATACATAAACGCCTCCTTCACTGCGGTAAAAATACATAAAGACTATTCTTATTTAAGTCATTAGCATACTTGCATATATCAATCTTATAATGATTAAAAATTGGGTATTAAAAAAAGTATGAAACAACTAATTTCTTCTGAAATCCCCCACAAAACCCAATCTTGGATCCGCCTCATATATAAATATATTCATTACCCATTATCCACTTCTAAAAAACGATATTTTAAAAATTTCATTTCATATTTTATTTTTGAATAAAAGATGTTTATGTTATTTCGACAAAGAAATAACTTAAAGAACAATCGAAATTTAATTCATCTCATGTTCATCATTTGTGTCTAATACAAGTGATCGTGAGAGTCCTCATGCACAGCGTTGTCATCATCATCGGCGAAAGCATTTAAATGATGGTCATCATCCAGTCTTTCCTCAGAGTGGCTGTGTTCATTTTCCTTTTTATGGATTTCCTCTGAGTGGCTGTGTTCATTTGCCTTTTTAACGATTTCGTCTGAGTGGCCATGTTCCTCTTCACTGCTTACCCACCAAGCTGTCACATATTGCCCGGAGTAATCTTGATTTTCAAGGGAGACGGAATCTTTCTCATTCTTTTCGCACTGAACAATCCGCTTGCATCCTCCATTATTCCGTAGGATTGAGGCTGCAACACATCCACATCCTTTGAAGCAGCGGTGTAAGCAGTCGGGCACGTTATTTTTACAGCCCCTGTCGCAATAGTCTTTACAAGATAGGTAGACGATTCCGTTGCACTTCCTGTAGGCGTGGTCATGGTCAAAACTGGCAGAAGAAAGGAGAATCTGGCAGAAGAGAGCCAACAAAATAAAGAGTTTCATGCCGGAGGCAATAAAGTGGGTGATCTCGTCTATGGAAATATAAGATTAAGACTGAGACCATATCTCGAAATCGGTTAACAAAGTGAGTGGAACTAACTAATTAGATTGCGGCCTTAATTGTTTCACCATTTACAATACAATTGGTTTCTGCACATGGGTTAACGTACTGGTTTTTGGTATACCCCGCATGCTTGGAAAAAATGTATTTTAAAACTGGGTAACTAAAAAAACTCAATAAGACTCTAAGAATTGGAAAAGTAGGACCCGGACGGATAAGATATTATCGAAAGCCATTAAACACCATTATAATATCATTGGAAAACATTAAATTGTCGTTTCGAACTGACCCCTTTCCAAATGCAATTTGAAATCATAAAATGCATTCAATAGCAAAAAACTTCTCTATAAACAGAATTATTTATTATTTACTTGGTATAAAAAATATTTAGTTAGTAGCTAGTTAAAACTCGACAGTATCTTTATGGAATAATCTTCGAGCTATCACACCAACTCCAGGATGTAAATTCGTTTCTTTTGAACTGAAATACATTTCAAAGCCTCGGCTTTAAGCATTTGAACGGTTTTTACAGATGACTGCCAGCTTTTTTTTTCTGGTCAGGATTGTGACACTGTTCTCAGCAGAACATTCTTCAAAATCACTTGGCAGCTTTTGTAAGGCACTTCAACTGATTATTTTGCAGTCTGCCACCCTTTAAGTGGTCATACCTCAAAGGTCCTGATGCACTGCAGCGGATTCAGCGCTGCCTGCAACTTCTTGTAACTTGGCCAGCTTCATCTAACGGATCAGATCGCTGGCCTAATCCCTTGGCGGTGGGCCACGGGGCCTGAGCACAGTCTCGAGAAGATTCGGGCCAGGCTGATTCTTGGGCCTGGGAGTCGGGGTCAGGGAGCGTGTGTGCGGAGCCAGTTCCTCCTTCTTGTGGACAGCCGAGGTGGCGGCACGCCTTGCCCGAATCTTCTCCTCCATTTTGCTGGGCACCATGAAGCAGTTGGACTCCTTGTAGACGGGCTTCCGACGATCGTTCCAGGGGAAGGTCCACTGAATGGGTGTGAAATCGCGTCGCCAGGGCTTCCTGGGCTTGAACCAGCAATCACAGGTCCAGTCCTCCTCGCCAGGAGCATCATCGTCGCTATGGAGATAGAGATCAGTTGATGTTAGAGATCCCGAGGGAGAAAAAAGGAAATTTGAACTTACCCCCTCACATAGACGCGAACATAACGCGAGTTCTTCCGGAACATTTGCAGGGCCTCGTTGAAGGTCATCTCCAGAGCTGGCATATCGTTGATCTGGGTGATCTCGTCGCCCACCCGCATCCCTCCCCTCTTTGCCAGCCCAGTGGGGGACACATTGACGATGGTCAGCGGCTCGAACTGATCGATTCCGCCGGACACCTCCATGCCCCACATGGCGTCGTAGAAGCTCATGATCCGCCGATCCGTCTCCAGAGTGTACGTCATCTGCAGCTCGTATTCAACATTGTCGAACGCCTCCGAGTCGTACTTGGGCACCCTAATCTTTGAGTCGAACATCGTGGTGATCTCAACAGTGAGTGTGGCCCTTGGAAACTGGCTAGATGGAACTGGATCCCAAGCCGGTAGAAACGGACGGGAGGTACTTTATCGTCTGGCGTTAATCACGCTGGTCGGTGGCTTTTATAGCCGATAATTTGGCAGCTAGAGCGGATACGCGGATACGACGACAATGTCAAGGGGTTTGACTAATGGGTTTGCCAAGTACAGTGATTAGTATTCAAGACATAATTTATTTATATTTTGATTATTTGAAAAGTATAGGTATTTAACTACCTCCTTTGATTATTCTACGGATTATCCTTCAGTCTTTCTTTTGTAAACGTAGTTAGCCTTTTTGTAGTTAAAGACAGGTTTTAATAAATTTGGCTATAAGGCTATAAATTCCGTGCTTATTTTAGGTATCAGTTATTACAATTCTTCTTCTTTTTTTGTATCCCCCAACAATTTTTACTTCCCTTTACTGCATTCATGTTCTTATAAGTGTTACCCACTGTGTATTGAGGGAAAATCAATGCAATTGATTTGCATTTAATTGTTGTCTATTTTTAGTGGCTGTGATTTTGGCTGACGGAAACAAAAGCGAGTGGCCGACCACGAGGAAGATCCCATGGCCGCTTTTGGCTTTTGAAAGTGGAGCCGACTCGAGAGCCCAGGGAGCAGCCAACCAGCTCCAAGTCCAGTTCCTCCACACACCGCTGGGCAAGTGCTAACCACTTGGTCCAAGCGATTTGATTTCACTGACCTCAATTATGGCTGCCACCGAGATGCTACGAGGTTGGGAAGCAGGGAGACGCGCAGACCTGAGCCTTCTTCCACCGGACTATTGCATTATTTATTTTCTCAAAAAAAAAAGGAAAAGATAGAAGAGAAACCCGCCAACAAGAGTCCATAAAATGGTATTGTCGGGGGAGCAGTGGCCAAATGGCAAATGCCAAACAGCAGCGACGTCTTGCCTAATTACAGCAGATCTTCGGCCATGGATGTGCGGGCCTTCCAAAGTAAGTATATTTGCCTAGTCCCAGTCCAAAATCCTCTCTCTCCAGAAGAAGCACTTAGCAGCTTGTCGGGGCTTATGCAATGGCATTCTGCCTGGGATTTGCATCACTGAGCGTGGCCAGCTTTTGTTGTCATGGAATTTCATAGCCACAATGGAAAGGATTTCGAGCATGGAATTGAGGTAATTACTTAGCAGGTGCTGCTGGCAAATGGGGGATTACCTGGCGTTCGGAGCTTTTATTTTTGCCAGTATCTCTAACTTTGTCACGTTCCTGGAGCCATATTATTGTTGTTCCTAGGCTTTATCGAAAATTGAGCAGTCACGACGCTATGCCGGTTTTGCTATATAAGCAGGTTTAAATGTGTCGCACTTTTAAATTAAACTAAAAATGAAACTTCTTGTACTTTTGCGTAAGTCTTGAAAAATTTGTAAAATTCGTTAGATTGTGATCCAACATTTATTTTAGTTCTCTTCACTCTGATACTGATTCTGTCCGAGGACAAGAAAATAAATCGAATTTTGTATATTAAGAAGCGAGTCACCAGCTAATATGTACTTTATTAAATAAACATTCTATTATAACTATTGTTATACCGTCGTTCTATCTTAAACTAAGAGTATTCGAATAAATTACGGTTTTTATGTTTGTTTTCTTTTCTACTAGTAGAACAAAACAAAACTAATTAGGATGGTCTTTGCCGTTTACTAGGTCTGGCTAACTTTCGTTATACTCTGCGCTTTTATTGAAATTTTCAATTACTTGGTTTATCCTACTCATCAAAGCACTGCAAGCTGTCAACTGTCATCCCAACACTGGTGGTAAAGGTCAAAAAAAAGCATTCCGGCTTCATTATTCATATTCATTTTTTATAAAAAAGTATTTAAACCATTTTACTTTTTAGAAGAGCAATTTTTGTCTTTCAATTTTTTTTTGGTCTTTTAAATAATTAAAGCATTGTCGCCCAAACAACCCAGTGCCTATATTTGCTGTGCATATGGTTTGATTGTTTTAGCTATCTTGCTGAAAAGATTGTGCAGACACTTCGGCTCATCAAACACTAATTTCTTGAAGAATTCGTAGGTGACCTTTAAGTACCAGGTAATCTCTCTTACTTTTCCGTTTTTCGGTTCTAAGGACACAAGTCCGGAACATTCATTCATTCATACTTTCATTCATTTCGTAGACAGTCGGGACCATTTCAATGGACAGTATTTCGATGACCACTTGAGTGCATTTTCCCAGCTTGGTCCATTTTTCGCCTAAGGTGGCCTGAGCCTCATTTTCCCGGGGGACAAAGAAAATCTATCAAAAGTTGTTTCGCTTTTCAATTTCATTAAGGGGTCTTAAGGTGCTCACTGCCAACAGGCTCAACAGAAATAAGGTTTTTGATCCCGCTTAAACTTTCTTTATATAAAAAAGTTTAAATATTTATTAGAAGCGCTCTCCTATTTATTGAATTACTTGCTAATAACAATTTCATCCTCTGAAGCAGAGCTAAAACTGTGGGACTTAATCTGCGTCCGCAGGCATTTTTATACCTGTTACTCGAAAAGTAGGGTAGTGTATTCGTGGATCAGGTGGAAGTATATTTAAGTTCAGGATCACAAGTCCAGTCTATCTGGTCATGTCCGTCTGTTCAAACTAGAAATTTTGTATTAATCATTCATAGCGCCCACATGTTTTAAGATTTTGTAAAAGTATAAACGATATTGTATTATTTATCAAATAAAAACACCTCTTAACGAGGTAAAAAACTAGTGACGACCGCACCTTCAACATACAAAAGTTCTGATATCAACATTTGTGACGAAAAATTATTACACTCGTCATTAAATAGACTTTCTAATATTTTCTCATTCGGCCCGCCCTAGCAAACTATTCCAGCCTTTTTCCCCTTACAGGCATTTTCTATTGCAGCGTGACGAATGAGAAAAGATTAGAAAGTCTATTTAATGACGAGTGTAATAATTTTTCGTCACAAATGTTGATATCAGAACTTTTGTATGTTGAAGGTGCGGTCGTCACTAGTTTTTTACCTCGTTAAGAGGTGTTTTTATTTGATATCAGAAGTTTTTGTTTGTTTACATTTGCTCTCATAGGAGCTAATATATACATTTAAATTTAAATTGGTCAATCATAATTTTTAAACTATTGTATTTTAACAAATTAAGTTAAAAAGGCGTTGAAGTATTTCAAAATACCTTTTAAACGAGGTATAGTACATGTCTGTACCTTTAGTAGTGTAGAACTTACAAACTAACGAAATTTAGCTATTTTTAGCTTTTTCCCGCTAAAGTAGCGGCTTTTTCCAAAAGTCGTAGAACAAAAGATTCCTATATGGAACTCTTAAGTGCAAATTTACTGATTCCATGACCCTAAAGTACAGTTCGGATACCCTCCCACAAAATTCAATACTCAGGGAGCGTTAATTGTTCGAGCTGGCAAAAGTGGCTATTTTCGAATAAAAATAACTTTTAAACGTGACTTTTTACAGTAATGTGTTATATACCAAAATTTAAGGAATCTCAAGGGCTATACAGTTTAAGGTTTTAAAGAAAATCGTTAGAGCCGTTTTTGAAAAAAAAAAAAAAGCTAAAAAAAAAGTTTTAAAAAATTGTCTTTTGTTCATATTTTTTTAAGTATTACATTTACACAAATTGCATATAGAAGGCGTTTATAGCATTTAAAAATACCTTTCAAACGAGATGCAGCACAAGCCTGTAGCTTTAGTAGTATAGAAGTTACGGCTTTCCGAATTTTAGCTACTTATAGCTGTTTTCCCGCTAAACTAGCGGGTTTTTCCAAAAGTGGTAGAACAAAAGTTTTTTATATCGATGTGATGAACGTCATATCAAATTTTCAGAACTTAAAAAACATATTTTGGACAAGTGGACAAGTGGACAAACAGAATTAAATTTTCATTTTGGGAAGAAGAAGAAAATCTTATTTTGGCTATAACTTTTGAACGGAGAGTCGGATTTTGACAAATGACCCCTCATTCGACGGGTATTTTCAAAAGGAATACAACTAAAACATTCCGAGGGGGCATTTATCCCCACCGGCCCCAACAGCTCCAAATTTCGAAATTTTCACTTTTTCACTTTCACCGCTCTCTCTCCCAAGCCAATTGATTTTCTTAAAGTCTTGGTATGCAATCCTGTTAGTTTTCGCAATACCTTTCGATAGGTGTATTATTCATTATGATCGGACCATCACAGTAGATTTTCATTTCTTCGTGTATATATAGTAGTCGCCTTCGCACACTCTCCTGGTGCGCTTCGTCACTACATGGACTGCCGTCCATAGTGATCAATACCCTTTAAAAATGTATAAGCAAGTAATGAAACAAGCATATCGCCATTGCAGATCGCTGAGTAACGCTGAGTAACGGGTATAGTCGGAGCACCCGACTATAGTATTTAACGTACGGATAAGAAAACAAATCTAAAGATTGTTTTACTTTTGAGCACTAAAACTGTTTTTACCTTTTCTTAAATATATTATTGATTTAAGCAATGGTACTTGAAGATATCGATTTTGTTTTGTTTTAAAATGAAAATGGTACACAATTCATTCTAATAATCTTGTTGATTTGTGGCGCTACAGCGTTGTGCGCATCCTTGAAGGATTGTAGTAGGCATCGCTGATTACTTACGACCTTTTGCATGTATTGATAGCCCAAAAGCGCCACCGCCGTAACATCAAGATTATTGGTCTTTAGGGGCTTAAAATTTGCACAAATTGCCATTTTCTTCATACACGGTATTGCTCTTAAGGCCAAGGTGGAGACTACTTGAAGTGCCACTTCCGTGCATTCCCCAAGCTTATCCAGATCGACTTTAAAGGACTCCACTTTAAAGGGTACAAGGGCTTCCAACAGCTTAATAGATTTGGAGTTAAAGTCCAACCAATACACATTTTTTAGTGAGCAACCAGACTTACAATTAAGCTAAGGGCGATGAATAAGACTTGTTTGGACTTCATATCTGGGACCCTTCAGTACATTAAGAAGATTTTTTTAAACTTATCGCCTTTTATATAGATTCCAAATTAAGAAAAATAAACTGTTTGTCTACGCTTATTCGGTTCTGTGAAATTCTGAATTAAAGTTAAATCTTCTTAATTCCATTGGCCGTAAAAAAGGTTTGCTGATTCGAAGGAATCCCATTTTCAATAGGCTCCGGCTCCAAACAACAAATGTGTTGGCTCTGAAAAGTTTAAAAAAGTAAAACCAACTTGATAATTTACAGATTTTCTTTAAAGCCGTTTTATTTTATATTTCTTTAATAGTGATACGCCCTGGCATATATCAATTTGTTTTGGATTATACATACACATAGCATAGGTTTTCAATTCACTTCCCTTCATTTTCTCCGCATTGGTTCTGCTCTCCGCTCGCTAATCTGTAATTTGAAACGGTTGCCAGGCAATCATCTCTTACATACATTGATATATAGCCGATGTACATATTTAAATAGATTTTGAAATGTATTGTACCATATACGCATATATAAGTTGAGTTTCTTGCTCGTTAACTCGCTTAGCTAATATTTTTGGTGTGTGCAATTCTTTGTTGGTAAATTCAAACTGGGCCAAAATAGGTTATTTCGTAGGTATATAATATAATTTGCTCGTATAATGATTATTGTAATTACAATTCTCTAATATGTTACAATTCGAAATTAATTCAATAGTTTAACAAATGTTTACATTTTGCTACAATTAACTCAAACCCAAAACGCCGACTCAGTTCCGAAACGATTCCCGAGGGAATGCGTATTATCCGATCCAGGAACGATCGCTTAACGTTTCGTGTCCATTTCCGGACACCAACGAAAGCAATCTCTTCAACAACTTTGGGAGCCTCGAGGCTTGTGATCCGCGCACAAGTGAAGCTCCAATTGATCCATTAACCTGACCTAAGCTCGTGCTCCAACCGAAGGCAAAATGCAAATAAAATTTGTAATTCTCTCCGCAAGCAAAGCAAAATTTCGGTTTCATTTTTAGTTGGGAAATGTACAGGTGGCCATTGCGTACTAATTTAAGACTCTTATCAAAACTACAATTGGTTGTTCCGTAACTTGTTGCTTGAAGCTTTAGCAGGTGGTTCCGAGTGGGAGCATTATAGAAGCGAAACTGTCTGTTCTTTAGGGGGTGTCTGTGGGGGAGAAGCCTTAAAAGCTGTCAACAGTTGACAATGTGGGGCGGCTGTTTAATAGCAGCGCCGATTTCATGGTTCGTAACTCTTGTGTGTAAAATAGTTCATTCGCATATAGTTCTGGTTGCTTGTATATATATAAATCTAACAATAATCGTTATCTTTATAGAGATTTCGCAATTCTGCTGAGCTTATACCTCACGACTCCTATATCCTATATACTGTACGGTCTTTCTTCAACACACACATATTTTTGGTATCATAATTTCATCTGGCGGTTGCCTGCTCTTTTTAAGTTAAACAATACAAGATACAAGTACATGAAAATTTGTGTATAAACAGCAAATATATAGGGTTTTATACATTAATTCATTATATATAGTTCCTCCTTCATATATATGTCTGTATTTTGCTTTAGTTTGCTCCTTTAAAATGCATATACGTGTGTGTTTGTTTGCATTACAAGCTTTTCATAATGGTCGCATACTTGAGAAAATAATACATACTCTAACTGGTCAACATAATATCACGTGGGAACTCAAACTAAACGATCCTTTAACTAATACCAAATATTTATACAATCGAATCAAACGAAGGCTATTTACAAAATTGTCCAAAAACTTAACCGAAACGGGTTCTAAAAAGTAGGCTATCGTATCTGATTGGAGCTGCTAATGCCTACTCTTGCGGCGGTGGCCAACTAATCACGAAATACATAATAATCCATAAACTGGTTGTTGAACTACTTAATAATTACGTACGCTTTGCATTTGGTTTAACTCCTCTCACAATCTGTGATTTCTTCATTCGATTTTAATTTGCTTCCCCAGCTTTGCCCTAGCAACAATCATCTATTTCCTACTTCCGATGGAATCCTCCAAGCCATGTCACTCAGTTGCCAGCTGCTGCCCCTGCCATTGGTTGCGATCTCCGCCTGACCAGTCGTCGGGCGATATTCAGGCGCTGCAGCCAGCCATAGCCTGCGTCTCAGTAAACCAAAACGGACTCCATCGTGATCGTATCTCATTTGCTCGCACTGTTGGCATTCACCGCATTAGTGGCCTGAATCTGGGAGGCCGTCTGGCTGGCCGGCTCCAAAGTTCGCCGCGCCAAGCGGGATCTATTGGGGAGATTGTATAATTAATATTTAAAAGGGAAAACTTTGATGTTTTCACTTACTTAATCTGTCCAGCCAGCAATGGATTAATGGCGTACAGCCAGTCGTGCACTTCCTTGTCGCCAAGGGTCTGCAGCAGGTAGCCGCGATGTTTGGTCACCACACTGTTGGAAAATATACTTTGTCATTAGTTTTAGTTATGAATCATCTTTCTTAAAATTTGTATACCTAAATGTGTTGGGTATCTTGACCATGGCCGCCTGATCCTCGCTGCACTCCACATGAGCAGTGGCCAGATTAAGGACAGCCCGTTCCACGGGATCCTTCTCCGAGCGGTAGATAAACACATACGGGCGACGGACAATCTATTTGTAAAAATACATAAAGTTAGACCTCACCTGTAAGTAAGCGTGGACAATTGAATACTTACCACCCAGCGCTTCTTCCAGCCGGAACCGCCATGCTCCAGGACGTTCAACAGACCCTTGCGGGCCACCACAGGACTCACGCGAATCTCTTCCAGCTCCGGCACATAAAGGCGGAGGGGAAGGGCCGGCTGGGTAGCCGGAGCAGGTGCCTCCCAGCCGTTGGGAGCATCAGCCCGGTCCGGAGAACACAATCTAATTCAAAATAAGAAAAGTAATTAGCCAAAGCCTCATCGGAGAGTTGGTTTAGTATTAGGTTCTCTGGATAGAACAGAAAATTACCTGCGTCGAATTACAAATTTGTTGTTTCTAATTGTGTAAAAGAAAACCAAAAGGAAAACAAACAAATAAAATATTGGAAGTTTTGTTTTTGAGTATCTCGAGTTATTAGGAAAATGGGGGGTGGGTGTGGGGTTTTGTTAGTTTTTGCACTGCGATGATCGAATGGAGGGCAATTACATGGAAACAGCTGGCAGCAACAGCAAAAATGGGTGGAAATAGTTTCAGTTGCCTCTGGTTTGCAGGATGAATTGGCTAAAGTCTCTTTTTTTGCTGCTGCTGTCGGCATTATTTGTGAATTCCGTGATGACAACTGGCTTTGCGGAGGAAACTGTTCTGAACCACGAAGTGGACCCGGATCCGGGTCGTGTGAAGTACATTTGGAATCCGTTCCCTGGCTTCTGCGGCGAGAATGCCAGCATGGTTCGATGTGCCGGAGTGTGTCCCGAAACCTGTGCCTTCAAATCGGCCAAGTGCCCCAAATATTGCGGTGTGAATTGCGTTTGCAAACCTGGCTATGTCTTTAATGAAGATCTGCAGCTCTGCATCTTAAAATCGGAATGTCCTCAGGATATAAAACAGGAAGTTGTGGAAACCCATCGGGTGTTTCAGTAGAGAACAACCATTTAATAACTTTAAATGTTGACTTTATATCATAAAATTATCTGTAATCAACCGATTTATTAAAATACCTTTTTTTGAACGATATCTTGAAGATTTCAATGGAATAGAAGGCATCTGAAGTTCAAGAGCAACTGAATAATTTTTAAAAACAGGTTGAGTGACCCTGGAAAATTGGGATTTCACAGAAATCCCAGGTGGAACCGTGACTACTTTAATGTGGAACCATTTAAAACATAGTTTCTTAACACTTTTCAATAATGGCATGTCCCAAGCCAAGTTTTATTCTACTACTAATCGGATTTTTCCTCGCGAAAAATGCAGTTAGGGCAGGAAAAACCACCGAGCTTGAGATAACCTGGCCGGAGGACATCACTGAGGCTACCCTAGAAACTGAGATGACCTGGCCGGAGGACATTACTGACGCTGCTACCCCAGAAACTGAGATGACCTGGCCGGAAAATCTTCCAGTGACCGAATCGAATGCGGTCACTTATCGCACCGCGCGCACCTTGGACCACTTGGATGCCTTGAAAGATGAGGACGAGTTCATGGAAAAGCCGCACAAACCACTTCTAGAGGAATTTTCTAGCCTGGAGGAAGCGCACCGCATAGTTCACCCGATCGGTGAATTAATAGCCCTCAAGCGGAAGCCGCTCCCTGAAAAGAAGCTGATCAAAAAGCCCTTCTACTTCGGCTGCTGTCACAACTCCACAAACGTGGGATGCGCAGGCGTCTGTCCGGAGACCTGTGAGTACCGCTCCAAGTACTGCGTACCGCTCTGCGGACCTCCCTGTCGCTGTAAGCACGGGTTTGTCTACAATATTCCCCGACGGGCCTGCACACTGCGCTCCGACTGTCCCAAGGGAATGGTACAGAGCAAGAAGGGAATCTACAGGGTATTTTTGTGATGGATGCTCGTGATTGGGGTTAGTGTGATGTGCTGTGGTGTCGTGCCAATTCCGTTTGTTCTAATAAACCAAGAAAGCCGGATGGATGCAAGCTAACTAAGATGGGCGGTGCTTGTGGGCGGGCGGTTACGAGTGGCAAGCGACTACTTACTCCATGGAATTGCTGGAGATGCAGCTGACGGTCATGTCGGCACATCCCTCATCGCTGGGCGAAACATCCGACTGGGTTTGCGCCTCGTTCGCCTCGCTCTTGGTGTAGCGTCCTTGGAGGAATTTCAGAGATAAGCAACTGGAGGGCTGGCGAAATCCAAGTTCCCACTCACCCTGCACCAACTTCAAGCACTTGAGCATCAGGTCCTGCTCCCGCTGGTTGTACTCCCGCTCTGGAATGATTTGCTGCGGATCCTTGACCGGCGTCTGCGGCGATTGCGGAATGACCATGTGTACGGGTGAGGTGGCTGCCCGGGCGGCCAGATTGCAAACATCCTTCTCGGTCTTGGTGGTCGGATTGGGGTTGGTGTCCATGCCCAGACGCTCGCGCAGCAGCAGCAGGTGCCGCATGCGACCCACCTCCTCCAGCCGGGTCAGTTTCTCCAGCTCCCACTGGTGGTCGAAGATCAGCGAGTCACCTCTTGGCCGCCAGCCGTGCAGGTTCTCCTCGCCGCGCACATAAGTGGAGCTGGTGTCCAGCACTCGACGCTGGCGCCTCTGCACACCTGTAATGGCATCAAGTTAGCGGGCGAGTGAGTGGTGGTCAGCTCCGGGGATTCGACAAGCGAGTGCAAGCGGACTAAGTACGAGTACAACTACAATGAGAATTGCTACCTGGACTACCTGCTTCGGATGCTCTGCGCAGTGCCAGCTCGTAGACTCCGGTGAGCCGGTTGGCCTCCGGATTGCGGTACTGTCCCGAGAACAGGTGCTTCAGGGAGCGCGGACCGGTGCGAGCATCGCGGCCGTAGATGACCATGCTCAGGTCCTTTGTAATAATGGCCGGGCGGGCGCAGTTCTCCAACTGGAAAGGGGAATCAAGTTTTAAAACTATAATTACAATAACTAATACTTTATCCTACCTCCAAGTAAGCGCTCAGGGTGATGTAGATGGTCTCACCGCCCTGGGAGACGCGGTTGAGCAGCGCCGAGTTGTGCAGGCTCGAGTCCCAGGCGGCCTCGAAGCGGTAGAAAGATCGATCGTCTCCGGGCACCTCCAGAGCCTCGCCGGGGAACAGGCCCAGCGACAGGACGCAGGCGTCTTCGTCCTGCTCATCGGACGACTCCGGAGTGTTGCGGATGCGTCCCACCACCAGTTCATTGATGTCCTTCCACTTGATTTCCGTTGTGGGCTCATGGACGATGGTAATGCGAATGCGTCGCTGGATGCCCTGGTGCAAGAGGAAAAGTCCTCGACAGGGAAGATCGTCGCTGTGCTCCACCACCTGTTAAAAGAATCGAGCTGGGATTACTAACTGGTTGATCTAGGTGGTTCAATAACCCTACTAACCGATGGCACATATTCTCCGTTGGGAGCCAATTCACAGATCTCGAACCAAACCAGGACATCGTGCTTGGCCAGAACCGTGGACGTGGGCGCACAGGGTAGTGGTCCAAACTTGGGACTCCGCACCGGCTGGCTAATCGGAATGCTCGGCGGCAACATGCGACGTGGTGGTGGCCGGGAAACGAACTCCTGCTTGGCATCCTTGTGCAATGGGTGCGTCTGGTAGTGGCCGAAGATCTTGAACATTATGGGCTGAGTCTTCAGATACTCGATAAACGATTTGGTCACGGGTACAGTAATCTATAGAAAATATTCCAAGTATGGATCACGATAAGTTGTTATTGCTAATGTATATTTATACTCACGTTCTGCACATGGTAGAAGCCAAGAGGAGCTCCCGATGCGGAATTCTTCACCGGTTCGGTGGAGAAAGCCTCCTCATGACGATGCAAGAAGCTGTAAAGGTAATCTTTTATAAACCACAGGCCTGTAAGGGAATTTTTAAAAGATTACTTACTTGAACTGACAGAAGATATCAGCATATTCGGCGCCAATGCCAGTGGCCTGGAGAACGGTGACCCGGAAGGTGAACTCCTTGCCCACCTGCAGGTGCTCGCCTGGCTCCTCGGCATTCTCATGGCACTCGGAAGCCGAGTTGGAGTCAATGCCACGACCAGAATCCACATCCTCAAGTTCTGCAGGGGAGCATAGACATGATATGGTGTCAATAAATTTTCATGGAAACTCACCCTCCAGCTTGGTGTCCAAGCCACCATTGTCAATATAACGCTGCACATCGTCCTTTTCGTTGAGAGCTCGGTACTTGGGCTTGGCATCATCCTCGTTGAAGACCAAGCGAGCCGACTGCTTCACGCCGTTGTTGAAATCAATGGACTCCTCATCCAGAACGGGCTGCACGGCAATCCTCAGGTAGCCACGCACATCTCCGCGCTCATTGACAATGGCCACTTTGTGGACCAAGGGCACTGGATAGAGTAGGTTGCTCAGATAGATGAAGGAGCGACCCACCATGCGGAACCAGGGGAAGCGATCGTAGAAGGGATCGCCGCCGGTGAGGCTCTCCACATTGTAGTCGGGCGAAGTGGGACTCATCTCGGCCTCGTTGTGGTACATCTCACGCATCAGCTCCAAGCGTTGCCTAAAAAACAGATTCAGGAAATTAGAGGCAAGTTTTATTTATTGGGTAAAGATTATTATAATATTGCGCAGGTAGAAAAGTGCGGGGACAGCGTCACAGAAAGCCAAAAACCCACCCAGATCAAAAGCCAAATATGGAAAGCCATGCAACTACAACTAAGTTTCTACCACACGTCTATATACAAATGAAACCTGCGGTCAAAGCAAACCTAGAAGGTATCAGATTGGCCAATGTGAGGCGGCCCCGTTCGCTTTCGACTGGTGGCTCCACTGGTTGTGGATCTTGGCTGGGTGGTGCGATCCATCCGCTCCGATCCAATGCCTCCATGCCGGACGTATCGAACAGCATGGACGACGGCGGGCTCTCGACATTGTATATCTGTCGCATCAGCTCGAGGCGATAGCTTGTTTGTGTACGAAAATGATTTGGGACGGGGATTCGGGTTTAGGATTTGTCGGTGTGGGCAGGGGGAATCGTAGTAAAAGAACCGAAAAAGTACAAATCAACATTGGTTTGAGAAAACCTAACAAGCTGTCGGGGCTTTGGCGAATGATGGCGATGAGGTCTGACATTTGAGGCGTAAATGGTGGCGGCGTGATCTTCGCTTCGTTAACAGCCAAAGTTACAAATGAACCGACAAATTCTAGAGCACTTGATAGAAACTAGAATCCACGAACTACAACCACCATGCACGTATTTATAAAAGAATAACCAACTCAAGTCGAAAGCCAGCTTTAAGTTTAAGATTTCAACCAAGGTGCAGAGAAGAATGAATATGTGAGGGAAGAGCAGGAGTTCGAATGGAGCGCAGGATTCGAGGGACCTACCGTAGCTTCTCCAGGGACCAGTGGTGAGTGGCTCCGTTCTTGGTATCGGTGACTTCGACGGCCACCAGAGTTTTGGAGACGGGTGGTGCCCCGAACTCATCGTCCTGATGCAAAGGAGCCACACTGGAGGCCAACTCGGGTGGCAAAGGAGAGTACAAGGTGTCGGTCAAGAGAGTAAATTGGAATTGCACCTGGAATGTACAAGCATAATTCATTTCAATCATATGATTAGAAATATTTTTTAATTTTTTTTTTTCACCTTTTTCTTCAACTCGACCGAAATGGCATTAGCTTCCTTGAGGAAAATGGCATTGCCCCAGAGATCGTCTCGTAAAGAGGTGAACTGGTGGTACCTCCACTTTCGGAAGGCCCACGCAGCCAAACCCGCCTCTCTGGCTGTCCAGCAGGACTCGTACATGGGATTGGCTAGGAATTATAAAATAAAATAATAAATATTCTCGAAAAACCCCTGCCATCCACCTACTGTAGACATCCTCCTCCTGGTGGAAGTCCTCCGGAGAGTAGCTGCTATACATCGACATGGTCATCGATTGCTCCTCCACCTGCTTCTGCAGAGCATCGATGCGAGCCTCGTAGGTCTTCCGCTGCTCCTCGAACTGCTGGTCGGCCTGAAGTTTCTCCCGCTTGTACTGCTCCTCCAGGTTGTCCAAACGCTTCTTCATTTCGGCCTTGAGATCTATGCCCTGCTTCTCGAGCAATTCGCACTGTGCAAAGTTCCAGTCCACCTGCTGGGTGTCCGTCTTCTCCACCTCGTTCTCCGCCTCGTTCTCGGTCTCGATCTTCTCACGCAGCTCGCGTGCCTGTTCCGGATTGGTGAAGCGGAACACATGGTTCTTGCCCAGGATCACACGGGAACCGGTCTTCAGAACCTCCGGTTCCACCAACTTGCGTCCGTTCACATAGATAATGGCATCCTTGTGCGGCAGCAGGGTCACCGTGCTGTTTCTATTCTCAAAAGTGCAGTGCTCCTTGAGGATGTGCGATCCGGAGAGCTGAATGTCCTGGGGAACATTGGCTTCGTGGGTGCCCAGACGAGTTAAGCCCTCCTTGATGTAGTACAGCAGACACTCGGAGAGATTGGGATCCTCGTTTAGGTTGACCAGGTGAGGGGTCTTCTTGGGCGAGAATACGCCCACCGTGATGCCGTCCTCCTTGACGGCCACGCCCATCTCGGCGAAGACCGCCTCTCGCTGCACACGAATCTCCTCGGTGCGCTTGAGTTTCTCCTCCCAGGTCTCGTTAAGTTCTGTGAGGAATTAGAACCATTTTCATTTATAGATTGTGTTCCAAATAGATATAGAAAGATATAGACCTGCAATGAGTTTCTCGCTGGCCTGCAGCTGATCCACTGCCATCTCCGTGGTGGATCCATTGCGATTACGGGTCTTAGAGGGCGACTTGATCACCGTGGACTTGGTGAGCTCATCCTCTGCAAATACGGAAGAGGTATTAGAACGTAGAACTCACGACCATTTAGGGGTCATAAGCGCAGTGATAAGCGTGCTAAGGTTATAAAGTTATGAAATACATAAAAAGTACAGATATATTGGATATAAATGGTAGTAGTATTTTTATATGGAACGAAGCAAATGCCAATGGTTTATGGTTTTTTAGGGACTACTGCATAACTCGGGCATGTCCACTTTCTAGCCTTGAAGCAGTGCGGACCGCGAGGAGTTGGTGCCTGTCTTTCTTTTTTGGACTTTGGCAACTCAAATAAATTATTTAAATACTTTTGTTCAAGTCTCCTTGGTGTATTGTAGGGCAACTTAAAGAGGACTCGATTGTGATTATCGTAAGGGTTACATAAGATTATATTCGTCCTGAAGCGATTTGTTTAGAAGCTCTGACGATACAGCACAATACAGACGCACACACAAAGAGAAATGTAAGAGTATTGGCAGTGGTTAAACTACAATATCAGTGCGTTTCAAAACTATTTTTCAAATGCGAGGGGGGTTCATAGATAAAGAGGAACTTTGGTGTCCTATCCAAAAATAGGAAATCATTTTGCGCTTCACTATTAATTATCCAAGAAATTGTTCAGCTTGTGGATATTCTTGATATTATCAACTCGCCTTAAGCTCTGAAACGCACTGTACATTTTTGCATATTTATTGATTAACATTTGTTGCACGTGAAGCCTTTGGTTTTTGATTAGCGCTGAATTTCTGTTGGCTTTACTTACTATTCGCATCGCGCTTCTCACACACCACTTTGCCATCGGGTCCTAAACGAAATAGGTTTGGGTTTGGTTTTGTTTTTCTTTTCTAGCATAACTAGACTAGTACTACAACTACCTTAGGCAGGGTATTCTTGTTTTGTTCTTCAAGTGTAGGGAGTAATTTTTTAATGTGGCTGGGTTTTAATGTACTCTACCTTAGTGTAGGGTATTTCAAATGAATGTAGTGGGTTTAAGCTATTCCAAGACTTACCTTCTTGTACCTCGATGCCCTCGGCCTTGAGTAAGTCCCGCAGCTTCTGGATTTCCTCCTTAAGTTCGCGAATAAGCTTGGCATTGGCATCCTCATTGACCACAGCCTTGCAAACAATTTGCTTAGCACGATCCGCATAGCTTTAAATTTTAATTAAATTTAATTTATTATAAACTCTTATGTGTTTCTATTGTTGATAAATTTATCCGCCTTACCGCAGTGTGCTGAGTGTTTCATCGTAGTTAATATCTGCTGGTGAGATAGCTGCAATCATAGCTGTCTTGGAGTTACCTCCCAAGTTTTCACGTAGCAGCCAGGTCAAGGCCGAATCGCGATAGGGAATGAAGTCTGCCTTCTTGGTGTTCTTTTTCTTGGAAGCCTTCGAAATTAAACAGATAAATTAGGAACTACAAAGGGTATTGACAATGTTATATACACTTACAGACTATAATACCGGAAAGCAGCACCAAAAGACAGTTATTAGCATATTTTCAGTCGTATAGGATGTTCTAAATATTATACACTTACCACCTCCGCTAGAGCTGAGATAACTTTGCCCAAAGTGGTCAAAGACTTGTTGATGTTGGCACCCTCCTTCAAGCGGGTTCCCTTAGCACCAGTGGAATCAGCTCGCTCCGAGCCAGCCAAATCCACCAAGCTGATCTTGGAGACCTTCTCTGTGGTCAAATCGGTCATGGTGTCATAACGACGTTGGGTAAAGAAGATGGTAAAGACAGCATGGGAACGGGAACTGGTTTCGTTCATGTTGGTGGCTGCCACAGTCCTAAAAAATTGTAAATAAATTTTATTAATTGATTGATATACTGCAGAAAGGGGTCATAATAAAACCCACCGAGCCTTGTTGCCTTCATCAATGAGATCATGAATGTCCTGGTAATCAGTGACGGCCAATTTGGAAAGGTCCTCCACATAGGGACCCAGAAGGGGATGCTCCCTCACACGCAGATTGCCCTTGTTCTTGGGATTCAGCAGATCCCTGACTCGCTCGCAATAGATTTCCATATACGAAACCTCAACCTATAAGAATAATTAAATTAGAAACAAAAAATGTTATCAAAATGCTTTCGAGACTCACCGAATACTTGAGGTCATCGGTCTCCGTATCCTGGATGCGAGTGAATAGATCCTTGCATATCATGGGTATTATTCCCTCCTGCTGTTCCTCCTGCCTGCCCATCATAGTATACGATTTTCCAGCGCCAGTCTGGCCATAGGCAAAGATACAGACATTGTAGCCATCGAAGGAGTGCTGCAGCATCTCCTCGCCAATGTCCTTGTAGACCATCTCTTGTGTGGAGAAATCGGCATCGTGGTGCTGTAATAGGAACACATATTTTTCCAAGTGTTCCGGTTTTTCTCTTTTAAGGCAAACTTACATCATGTGACCAGTAGGAGTAATCAAAGTTGAAGCGCTTCACTGAGTCGCTTGTGTTGGGCGGCACCTTTGGATTGGTGATGGCTGCGAGGGGATGCATTAAAAGTATTTAATGTAGAAAAATCTACAGTGTCTTAGAGTCTCTTACCCGTTGTGGCCCCTGCCATCTCGATGATGCATTTCGACTCCCTGGCTATTTCGCGCGAGTTAAAGGGGCGCACTCGCACCGCCACCTTAACCGACGACATCTTGTCCTCCTCTCAGTGGGTGTCCTGGTTTCCGGTTAACTGGAGTGGAAATAGAGGAAAGGGAATACTTTGTAGTTATTGAGTGGGCTGTAAATTGGCTCGAGACTTCCACTGGCAGCACTGACATTTTATAATTGCCCCAACTTTATGGTTATGTACTCGTCCACGATTTGTTCTTGTGGTAGTTTCATACTGTGAGTCATGCCCCCGGCAACTCGCCAGGGAAATTTGAATTGAAGCCAGGGGTGGGGCTAAGGATTGTTTTTTCCTTTGGGCTTAGTCTTGGACTTAGAGGAATGTTTTTTGTTTTTTTTACAAGTATTCACGAGTTAAAAGGGTCAAAAAATTAACAGTAAAATTAAAAACATAAATAGAAGAAATTAATGGTCCTGATTTTAATGCTACAATTTATTCACACACAATTGTAGTCATTTTTTGACTTTTTGAAACTCTGATTTTATGCAAATAGTTTTGTATAACCCGCAACCCCCTTGACTCACACAGAAGCACTCTCACTCACACACTCGAAGCAAAAAATTCCACAATCCACAATGCTTCCAATAAAAACGCAGACGAGTGTCGGCCAACTCTCGAATGAGTCATCGAGCAAATACAAAAGGCAGGGGAAAGAAAAACACTCACACCCCAAAAGATGGGGATGACTTTAAATACGTTTCTTTATAGCTTTAGTCCTATAGAATACTAGCATTTATATAAAATAAATTACCTTTAGTTAGTGCCAAACAATTGCTGGCTTACGAGACGACTATATCCTCAAAGTTCATTATAGCACAAACAGCGAGAAGTCTTTATAACACGTTATTGATAGCACTTTTGATTAAATTTTTTATTTATTAATTCGTTAAAACTGTAATATTTTTAATGATTTTTCTGTTTGTCCTTATATATTTTATTTATTTATTTATTCCAGTAGTTGTTTCACTTGACCAACAATGAAGTTCTTTTACTCGCGTACACCAGAGTCCTGAAATATGGTGAGACCAAGTTTAGAAACTATTCCAATGATTTCCCGGCCAATGCGCAGCTGTGAGAATTTCTCTCTTTCTCGTCCTTTCTCTCTTTGTTTACCTGACCAAAATACTTTTGTTTATGTTTTTTGTTCCTTCAATTTCTTTTTGACGAAACTGTCAAAGCAAATGTGCAACAGCCTGCAGTAAAAAGTCTACACAGGTAGATTTGCGCAGAAGCGCGAGACAGGAGAATTGTGGAGAGAAGGCAGAGAAAGTTGAGAGAAATAGAGAGAGAGGGTGGGAGCGAAAGTGAGACAGAGTATGCAAAATATTTGTGTAATGTATTTTTTCATTTTTTATGATATGCAGACTGACGCAAGTTGAAGGCGCAAAAAACGATATAGGAAAGAATGAAAGAAAATAAATCGGGCTATATCCTTATCCAGAACGTCCTCGTCCTCTTCTCGATATCCTGAACTCAGTTCACCTGGCTAGGCTCTTGAAAATTTATTCGTCACTCTGTCAACCCTCATTTGCACTTGAGAAACGAACCTCGCACTCGAGGTCCTTCGCTTTACTTCGCTTTTATTGCCTTCTGCGTCATATTGTGGTCTTTTTATGGCTTCCTGCAGGGCAACACGGCGGGCACTTAATGCCACATGCAGGACCTCTAAGCACACTCACTCGCGCACACCAGCACATTCGTGGGTAATATCCTTCGCTGGGTTCTTCTTGACCTTTATTAATAAATTTTCAAGTTGCCTTTGCCATGGACACCGAGCCAGGAAATCTCTACACTCTACACACTAGTCACACTTTTCTGGAGGCCACTGTATACTAGATGATGGGGGAAAAAAGCGAGTCGAACTTATGTAAAACGAAATAATGGGCTATGTTTTTCGAGAATTTTGAAATGTTTGGTCGAGCGAATTGATGAAATTTTGCAAATATATTTTGAAGCATTTACCAATTGTGTTTCTGTTTCGTTTTATTTTTCGGGGCTTTTTATGCATAACTTATAGAACTCAAAATATTTTCTGTTTCAAGAACATCTGTGGTTGTTGCTGATAGTCCGTTTGCTGTTGCTGCTGCTGCATTTCTTGGTCTGGCTGTTGTTCTTGTGTGTAATTGAATACTAGTATTAAGCTATCCAACATGGATCGCTTGGAGGTGGTGGCAAAAATGATGGACAGCACCAGAATTGTTGTTAGCAATAGGGCGAAAAACAATAAGTAACCAAAAGCGCACATTCGCGTAGCTTCTTCTTGACTTAATTGAAGGATTCTTGATTATATATATAGGCTTCCATATATGTGTATATGTAGGGGTCTGGCTTTCTGTATAACAGCGAAAATTTTGCACTCCCTTTTTGGGGGACAAATACTTGATAGGTTTTTGGTTTGCCACGAAAACAAATCTCTTCCTTTCGAATTTATTAGTTGATTTACTTGGCTGCGCTTGAGTTAATTTTTGGGGCACTTTTCTTTGGGGAAAACTCTGGGTTTTTCTGCACAAAATCGATGGCCAGCCAGCGGAGGGCCTTAGCAAATAAAATCGCGCACGATTCGAGACCAGAACGAACTGCACCCGTTAAGGGTAGACGACACAGTGAGCTCTGGGAAAGTTCAGAGGATACGACCAGCCCTCCACGACAACGCATGCGCCGCAACATGGGGGAGAAACTGGAAGGGCAGGGGTTGTGTGGAGTATATGTGTGGGCTGCGAGGTGTATATGGGTATGCGAAAAATTTCATAAATTTCATCTACAGAACTGGGGGGTCCGAGACAACGAAACGCCCGTCTGTCATCCGTTGGCACAAGGAATTTCATTATTAGCGCAAGGTGTCCACTTTTGCAGACAGCCACTGTGGCACCCCCGATTCCCCAATGTTTGATCTTATTATGAGCTATTTCACTATCGCTGCCGGCACAGTGGCTATAGCGACGGCTTTATCCACCAGCTGATGACGTAAAATAAATTCTGTCTATTGATTTCCCATCGCAACGAGACGCAGGACAAGCTTTGGCTCTTTATGTTACTCGGTAGGTCTCATTTGTATACTATACTTCTCCGGCGTAATTACATTGACATTGAAATCTGACGCCGACGCTGGCAGGGCAGTAAAAAGTTGGAGGTTGGAGCTTTGTTAAAGATGGGGGATAGGATGTGGATGAGGTGGGACATGTTAACAGAAAATACTTGAGGTCCAGAAATATTATAGAAAAAGGCAGCAGGGAAGCCACATTGATTGGAGTGGCAGGTTTTGTTTTTCAACCGATTCAAATTTAAATATATTATTATAACTTAATGCTAAAACATGTTAAAAACTTCCCTATAACAAAAATGGGTCGTATAAAAAGTCAATCTTTGGATAGATTCCAATATTTTCAAAATAACTTCTCTCAGTTTTACCAAAAATAAAATTAGATAAACGATTGTAAGAATTAACTAAAATTTGTGGGAATAATGACCTTAAAGTGCAGCCTAACTCAACTAACAGTCTACATATTTTTCCACAATTGTAGGTTATTTGGTTTTTGAAGGGATATAGATATAATTGCGAAAGTATCTGCGCTACACCGTTAGGATCGTCAACTAAATTCAGATGTGAGCCCAAAATAAAACAAAGTAATCCCAGCAAAAGTGTCACTCGTCATTAATTTAATGCACTGATTTCGGCTTGCAAACAACAAATACTACAATGACAGCCACCTCTACACTTCCCCCCAAATTCAATTATGAGCCCAACGATATGGACACGGAATTCGATAACTTTTGGAAAAAGGTTAGCTGCTTTGCGGCCCAAAACTTTCCCTTCGAGGAGCGGTGCGAGTTTGTCAAAAATGCCGTGGACTGCAATAAGAGTACGAATGTGGTACCTTACATGAGACTCCTGGCCTGCGAGCTCAAGTGCATTAATCAGTTCGAGCAATTGGTCTTCATGAGCATGTTCGTAATGCTCTGCTTCCAGATTTTGGTTGTACTGATCTACACGATCAATAGTTAGTAAGTTGGAAAAGGTGCAATAAAAAAAATATTTTACTTTGGATTATTAAATAGTTTTTGTAGTAGCTTAAAAATATTGCAGACGGATTATTCTTCTCTTTAATAACTGCTTAAGTTTCGAAATTCCCTCTACTGGGATATAATTATTTAAACATTAAGCTCACAGATCTGAGAATTGTATGTTTTAATATCTTCTTCTCATTTCAATTTCGAATTTTCAGCTATAGTCCTGCATTAAAGGCCGTTTCGCGATTACTGCATATGAACGAACACTTGGCGGGAGTCACCCTGATGGCATTTGGAAACAGTTCAGCCGACCTTTTCTCAAACCTGGCAAGCGTTAAAAGAGATGTGCCCGTATTCGCCAACAGTTTGTCCTCAGCCCTGTTTGTAACTATGATTACCGGTGGCTTAATATGCTATATTTCCCCATTCAAGATGAATGCCTATGAAACTGTCCGCGACATTTTATTTCTTCTTCTCGGAATAGTATTGATGGATTACTTCACGACTGCAACTAGCAGAGTCCATAAGGACTTTAAGTTTATTCGTAAGTTAAATATAGTCTTAAAAATATGTATTCTGTTTGTTACTTATTCAACATTGATATTTATATATTAGACGGGGCCCCACGTCTCGTAATTATTTTATCAATGCAAAAATATTAAAGCCCCAATTCGGAAACTTGAAAATTTAAAAAGTAAACTTTCAATTTTCATTTTTCATAGGCTTTCGAGGGTTAAACCTTAATTTAAATTTAACAAACAGATGAGAAATCGTCCCAAAAACCTTTACTGACATTTGTTTCTTAAAATTTAGTTGTGGCCATGGTCTATATCATCTACATAATTGTAAACGTCACAGATCTTTACTTCATGCGGAGGATGTTAAACTGTGAGTATTCCAACACATCGTTTTTGAATAAAACTGCCACGCAATAAACACGTAAATCTATACTATTAACTCAAAACTTTTCTTAGCAACTGCGGAAAAACTCCAAGACCTATACAGTAAAGAAGAAACGCCAGAAAACACAAAACAGATTCAATATCTAGAAGGAAAGTTCGAATATTACTCACAAGATGGGCAAGTAGAGATTTATGAGCGGAACAGTAAAGCATCGATAACCAGAATGCGGTACACCACGATGCGAATGGTTCGGAATTCTCGTGTGAGCGTGAACCGAGGTTTAACCAGAATTAGAAAGCTCGACATGACACAGCCGAAGAACAGGGGACTCTTCAGGGATTTCTTCCTTGTCCTGAGGCCCATCCAGTGCCAGGCGTGGCAGCGAGCCGACATTCTTAAGCGGACCCTACTGTTGATCAGAGCTCCGGCCGTGATCCTCTGCACCCTCTTCATTCCGCTGGTGGACTATGAAATGGACAAACATGGTTGGAACAAGCTACTGAACAGCATTCATGTCATAGTAAATCCTGCCCTATCCGTATCGGTCCTCATGTGTGAGTAGTTCACAATAATATTTAATTACAAGCTTAATATAATTACTGCTTGATTTTATAATACTATCAGAAAAGATTTGTCAATTAATTGTTCTTTCCAACCGTAGCTTTCATAAATAGTAAAGGAAACACCTTATGGTATATGGAAATGAAGGATCAAGCTATTTATGGGGCCTATTCGCTTGTTTTTACAGTGCCATTCACCATATTCATTCTCATCCAATCACGGACAGATGTGCCACCATCTTATCACTGGGTGAGACATAATGAGGGCATAACTAAAGTTTTACTAAGAAAAGCCTGATTTCGCATTTCTAGGTGTTTACGGTAATGAATCTGATTGGCTCAATGTTCATAATCTTTCTCTGCGCCACGGAAATCGACAAGGTTCTGGAAGTAATTGGTAACGAGTTGGCCATAGATGACGACTTCATGAGCGCTACGGTAAAGGCTTTTACATCGAATTTGGGGAGTCTTTTTGCCAACACCGCTGTGGCCGCTCACGGCTATCCAAAAATGGCTTTCGCATCCGCCATTGGAGGACCTTTTTTTAGTAATTACTTCGTTTTCGTTGGAGTGTAGTATAATAATTGCCGGTTCCCCAGCTATCGTTGTGACAGGGAATACTGTGATATACGTTAGAAGTCTAGTAGGTATGGACGTTACGACTCGTGATCATATGGAAGAATACGGTCATTTCGCTTTAGTATTTCTTAATATGGGTCTGATTACCATTCTGCTGTGGTCCACAACGTTAGGATTTTTTGCGCGCCGCTCCATGGGATTATATTCGATTGCTTTGTACACTATATATTTAATATTCGCCGTCCTAGTTCATGAGAAACAAATTCATTCGTTTGCTGATGACCCTCAGGTTTCAGCTGCATTTGGCGATATTTAAGTGCTAAAAGCTGAGACAACGTAACAGAGCTTAAAAAAGTCAGAAAGGAAAATTTATACTAATACTGTTTCTACTTTAAATTTATACTTTCATACTACATAAAAGAAATAATTAAAACATACACTTTTGGTATAGTATTATTTTTGTTATTTATGAGTTTTTGAAACGCACCTTGCTGGGATTTACTGCACAACTTGCGATTACTGCGCAGAATTTTCTTGGGAGTGCGTGAAAAGCGGGGGAGTAAAAAGCACACACAGACTGAAACGAAACCAAATAATACCGGGCGTGTGTGGCTGAAGGAAAATGGCAAGGAGTGGGAAAAGCGGTCGTTGACGTTCATTGTTGGCTGCGCAATTCCCTTTTTTCACTGCCAGCTTTAAGGATTTTCCACCGGCGAATGTCAATGACAGTTCATGAGCCAAAACACTTGAATTTTTCGCCGCATCATGCCCAAAAGCGAGTTCGCTGACTCTTTTGGCCAGGATCAAGCAATTAAAATGTAACACTCCAGCAGGCAACACTGCGTATGAGTCATCTGAGTGTGGTTTATGTCCACTTTTTCTTGTTCAGCTGCAGGCTGGTCTTGAAATTAAATTTAAATTCAATTTTCAAGTCCGCAGCTTAAATGACATTTATAGCCGAAGAGGAAGAGGGAAATAAGAGCTCTTAGAATGGCAGACACGTGTATATAAAAACCCCTCGCAACCTCCCATGGTTTTTCTGCGAAAGCCCCCAGGACACTTAAAGCACAAAATGTACGAGTGTTTGTGTCCTCCATTAAGTCTAGAACATAAACGATAAATGCGATTTGGTTATTTAATTCATTGCAACGAAAGCGTGGGGAAAAAATGAGAAAATACAGTGGAAAATATAAGAGAAAGGGATGGAGAAAGCCTGCCCCACGCAAAAGGCACAAACACAGTGGCACCACACAGGCAAAGAGAAATGGCGGATGACTCATCCAAGGAAAATGTTTGTGAGTGTGGAACCTGGCCACAGTCGCGTCCCAACGAAGTGGGAATGCCAAAGAGCAGAGGGCAAGGAACTGGACATAAAGAAGGAAGGAAGGAAGGAAGAGCGAGCCAAATGGTGAATCATCTTTCAAGAGCCAAACATTCCTGCCTTCCACGACAAGCCCGCTTTTCCTCCCACTACCGAAATTTTTTTCTTTCTCATAATTTCAAGGTTTGTTTACTCAGTGTTTCTGCTACAGAGAGGAAAAATCAAAGAGAAATAGTGATTTTCTTAAAGCTAATTAAATCTAAATAAAATGTATAATTTATTTCTTAGTTTATTGCTGGAACATTCCGCTATGTCAAGAATAAAACAAAAAAAAAAATACCCATTATAACAAAATAAGTTTACCAGAAACTTTGTCAATATTTTTCTACTCTGTAGTTTTTTATTCGCCACGCAGAACAGCCCCAATGTTGGCTTGGCGTGGAATGTTGTAACTTTCGGTGCCTAGCTGTCGCTCTATATATGTAGGATATAATTTGCACACACGCAGATGCCAGGACACGTTGATTAGCAAGTGATTTCCATTTCGAGCCCTTTTTGTTGCCTACTTTTTTGGGGGACTGACCACACGTGATGAAGTAGACCGCAATGGGCGACGACCACGCCCCGAAAAACGGGCAACTGCATTGGGGAACACTTAAAAGTGCAGCTCGCAGGTAATATAAATCATTTTGGACAACCACAAGCTGTTGGTCCTTTCCTTGCCTAACACAATTAATAATAAACAAGGAAAAATTGTCAGAGCAGGAAGCCATTTCGCGACCAGGTGAGTTTCCCCCCCAATCTTTCCATTATTCCTTTTAATGCTGCTCAGAGAAAATTTATGTTTATTGCTTGCCCCCCCCACTGGGCACTCTTTTTTCCTATGGTTCCTGCACCCTTTACCCTTATTTTTTGTATAAGTATTTTGCCTTATTTATTCATGACACTTTGGAAGCCACTTTATGGTGCGGTTCTTAAGCTGCGGTTTTTGAGCGGCATTGGTTGGGTCAGCCTTTTGTTATAAGACACCAGCTTTGGTTGGACTTAAAGCTGGTGAAACAATATTTTCCCGAGGGCCAGGGATTGTTGGCCTTGCCTCAGATTTACTCTATTATTAGAAGAGCAAACAACAATCGCAAGCAAACAAGCTGCCTAATGCCTCCACAATCCTTTGTACACTTAATCTCTCAATCAAGTTGGTCACTATAATCACACCCCAGTGTCTGTGGATATGACACACACTATTACACAAAGAAAAAAATTATTTTACAATCAGGAACATGCTTTAGAAGTCAACGATTTCAATAGATTAAATGCAGTAACATGTGTATGTGTGAATACGCCACTCTAAGCAAAGGATTCCATTATGGTTTCGTTTTAAATCGCAGGAGAAGTTCGGTAGTCCTAAGCATTTTTGAATTTCACAATTCGAAAAACAAGATGTTATATAAGTTTAAAATGGAGTCCTTAAAGCAGTAACATAGATTCAGACGCTTTGAGTTAAGTGTCTAACCCATCGCCATGTTTTTGCTTCTGACACACAGATTGTTCTTAAATAGCCCAAATTTAAAACTTTTGATAAAACATTAACCTATATTATCTTTATTAATATTCTTTAAGAATTTTTAACTTAAAAAGTTCAGAGGATCAATTAAAACTTATAAAAAAGGTTAAATAAGATTTGAAATTAAAGAGAAGTTTTTAGCAAACTAAATTAATTTTTTTTAAGCATAATGAGACATTGACCTATATTGTCTCTATTAACGGTATATTCATTAAACAAATTTAACTTAAAATATTCAGAGGATTTATTAAAACAAACAATCAAATACAGGTTTTCAAAAGTAGTGATCAGCCCGTCACGTCACAAATTGTATTTTCAAATGAATTATTGTGTTCGTCTCAATATAAGTTAGATTCAAATCTGATAATAATTATTATTCATCAAAATTCAGCGGTAATTTAGAAATAAACCACTGACTTTGCTGTAGATTGATGATTTAATATCGACAAGTACACAAAAAAGTGATGCGCAAAAAGGTGGAAAGTTCAAAGGCAAATCCTTAGCCCACGCATGATTGGCATCCTGTATGCTCCACCCACATGAATTCGACACTTGAATGGAGATGCAATGACTGACTGATTGGGATCGAGGTGAAGGCTGTCCGTTCAGACTCTCCCCTCCCCCTCCCCCAAAGGTCAGAGGTTGTCCGTCGGCAAACATTTGATTTGGTTGGATAGAGACAACAACTGAGCTCCCCTGGCAACTCGAATTCCATTCCTGACGTCAATTGGCGAGGCGATAACACCTAGAGGCGTGGGTCGCAGCGCATAAATACGTCTGTTCTGGATGTTCTATATCTATATGGAAACCCTCCGGATGACAGGTTGCACCATATGCTCGGGGAAATTCGCAAACAACAGTTAAGAGGTCTTATTTTTAGAACGTCAAGGGGGCGGACAGCTGCTGAAGGACCAGATGAAGGATCTGCAACAGGACGAAAGTCGGAAAAGTTCCCCAAGGGAGATGCGTGCGCACTTCTGGGGCAACTCGCTGTGGAATATTGATTTTTCACACAATTTCCCGAATACAGTCAAGTGGAGTTTTTCACAAAAAGGTACTTTTGATTAAATTTTACATTATTTGCTTTAATATTGCCAAGTTTTAAATGACCACTACTTACTTTCAATAGGTAACTCCCTTAAATGGCTACTCCTCGTCCAAAGTTTTCCTTGCACAATCACAATCACAGCTTATGTTATTAATCCAGTTATTATTGCACTCAATGGGTTTATTTTGTATGCTTCGTATTCGTCACCCCGCCCAGGAAATTAAGAGATCTTCCTTTGTTTCGGTTTTTGGCTCGATTTCAAAACTTCTGGCGACTTTCGAGGATGGCCATTACGCGAACAGGCAACAAACGACTCTGCCAGCGGCTGGCCATTTGTCCCACCATTCGGATACGCGTGCTGGAAAATGGCTTGCAGCTGCGCGCACGCAAGCTCGGGAAAACTCGGGGAAAATCTCAATTTTCCGCCCCCAATTCCGCGGCGGGCTGACTTTTGTTTTTGTTTGCGCACAGCTGATCCGCTAGAGATGGCACATTTGATGGCTGTGTTGGAAAACGGCACGCCGATTATTGGATTTACAATTTTGAAATAAAAAAATTTTAAAATATCAATTTGTTTTGTTATTAAATAATGTGGTTTCAATGTTTCAAAAATGCTTATACTAGGAATACATTTTAAATAAGGAGAAAAACATAAAAAAATTGAAAGAATAAATTTAAATTACTTTAGCCTCATTTTCAAATGCACCCACATAAACGTCAATGTAGGAAGTATTTGAATAAAGAATGAATACATTTAAACACAACTCCTTAAAAAATCGGAATTCATTAATACAAATTCTAGGAATGTAAAATAACGCAGATGTTTAGGTGTTCTAAAATATGAAATTCCTCTAATAAATGAAGGTTTCCTACTCTTTTATAACACAAAATCCCACAATTAGTTGCAAACTGGTACCAATTTATTAGCCGCAACTGAGACTACAATTTAGGATCTCCGATCCGCAGATGCTTATAGATTAGACATAGATAACCGATGTGTTCAGCAGCTGAGCTTCTTGGCCTCCTGGAAGCGGCACGAAATGTCGTCCCAGTTGGCGATGTCCCAGATGGCCTCCACGTACGAAGGACGCACGTTCTTGTACTGCAGATAGTAGGCGTGCTCCCAGACGTCGATGCCGAAGAGGGGGATCAGGCCAGTGGAAGCCTCCAGGGGATCCTGGTTGGGCAGGGCGGCCAGCTGCAGTTTGCCGGACTTCTTGTTGTAGCCCAGCCAGCCCCAGCCGGAGCCCTGGACCGCCACGGTCAGGGTGCTCAGCTCCTTCTTAAACTCCTCGAAGCTCTTCCACTGCGACTCGATGGCCTTCTTCAGGTCCTCGCTGGGCTGGCTCTTGTTGGGCGACAGGTTCTGCCAGAAGATGGTGTGGTTGATGTGGCCGCCGCCATTGAATCGCAGGGCGGGCGCCAGCTGGATCAGCTTGGTGGTGTCGCTCTTCGCCTTGGCCTCCTCCAGCTGCTCCTCGGCGGCGTTCAGATTGTTGACGTAGGTCTGGTGGTGCTTCTGGTGGTGCAGCTCCATGATCTCCCGGCAGATGATGGGCTCCAGGGCGGCATAGTCGTAGGGCAGCTTCGGCAAGGTGTGCTTGCCACGCACCGCCAGGCTGCAATGGGTTAAGGCTCTTTTGTTTTATAATATCCTCAAGATCAGGGTCGCCATTTGTTGCTATTATTTATGTAATCGCCCGGCATCGATTTTGGCTTTTTTTCTATCTACTTAATGTCCGTCACTTACCTTGCCGACTGAGAAATTCTACGGGCCACAAACATCTCTGCGAATTATTTAGCTGCAAATTAGGCTTAGTCCTGATCTGTGTTTTAAATCCAAATAAAACAAGGCTTACGTTCTCGTTTTTCGCTTCCTCTTTTTGAACAATTTAATTCTAGAGATGGGCGAGGAGGCGAAAATATCGAATGGCCACAGTCGGTCAGTGATGTGGGTTTAGCTATCTAGAACGGCTAGAAATAGGACGGCTAGCACAAGTTAATAAATGTTTTAAATGTATCAAATTTTAACTATTTTGCAATGAAAAATAATTTAAATTTTGTAAGTTGTTTTCAAGCTATTTACATATCGATATTTATACCCTTGTAGAGGGTATTATAATTTCAGTCAGATGTTTGCAACGCAGTGAAGGAGACGTTTCCGACCACATTAAGTATATGGGCACTTCCAAAATGTCGCTCGGGACATTTGCATACCTTTAAAGTTGAATAGACTTTCTAATCTTTTCTCATTCGGCCCGCCCTAGCAAACTATTCCAGCCTTTTTCCCTTTACAGGCATTTTCTATTGCAGCGTGACGAATGAGAAAAGATTAGAAAGTCTATTTAATGACGAGTGTAATAATTTTTCGTCACAAATGTTGATATCAGAACTTTTGTATGTTGAAGGTGAGGTCGTCACTAGTTTTTTACCTCGTTAAGAGGTGTTTTTATTTGATATCAGAAGTTTTTGTTTGTTTACATTTGCTCTCATAGGAGCTAATATATACATTTAAATTTAAATTGGTCAATCATAATTTTTAAACTATTATATTTTAACAAATTAAGTTGAAAAGGCGTTGAAGTATTTCAAAATACCTTTTAAACGAGGTATAGCACATGTCTGTACCTTTAGTAGTGTAGAACTTACAAACTAACGAAATTTAGCTATTTTTAGCTTTTTCCCGCTAAAGTAGCGGCTTTTTCCAAAAGTCGTAGAACAAAAGATTCCTATATGGAACTCTTTAGTGCAAATTTACTGATTCCATGACCCTAAAATACAGTTCGCATACCCTCCCACAAAATTCAATACTCAGGGAGCGTTAGTTGTTCGAGTTGGCAAAAGTGGCTATTTTCGTATAAAAATAACTTTTAAACGTGACTTTTTACAGTAATGTGTTATATACCAAAATTTAAGGAATCTCAAGGGCTATACAGTTTAAAGTTGTAATGAAAATCGTTAGAGCCGTTTTTGAGAAAAATAAAAAAAAGCTAAAAAAAAAGTTTTCAAAAATTGTCTTTTGTGCATATTTTTTTAACTATTACATTTACACAAATTGCATATAGAAGGCGTTTATAGCATTTAAAAATACCTTTCAAACGAGATGCAGCACAAGTCTGTAGCTTTAGTAGTATAGAAGTTACGGCTTTCCGAATTTTAGCTATTTATAGCTGTTTTCCCGCTAAACTAGGGAGTTTTTCCAAAAGTGGTAGAACAAAAGTTTTTTATATCGATGTGACGAACGTCATATCAAATTTTCAGAACTTAAAAAACATATTTTGGACAAGTGGACAAACTGACAAACAGAATTAAATTTTCATTTTGGGAAGAAGAAGAAAATCTTATTTTGGCTAAAACTTTTGAACGGAGAGTCGGATTTTGACAAATGACCCCTCATTCGACGGGTATTTTCAAAAGGAATACAACTAAAACATTGCGAGGGGGCATTTATCCCCACCGGCCCCAACAGCTCCAAATTTCGAAATTTTCACTTTTTCACTTTCACCGCTCTCTCTCCCAAGCCAATTGATTTTCTTAGAGTCTTGGTATGCAATCCTGTTAGTTTTCGCAATACCTTTCGATAGGTATATCATTCATTATGATCGGACCATCACAGTAGATTTTCATTTCTTCGTGTATATATAGTAGTCGCCTTCGCACACTCTCCTGGTGCGCTTCGTCACTACATGGACTGCCGTCCATAGTGATAAACAAAATTAAAATAGAAACGCTGAATCTGGAATCCCTACTTTATCTGCAAGGGTATATAAGCTTCGGCTGGCCGAAGGTAGCTTTCTTTCTTGTTTTAATTTGATTTCTACTTGGGATTATCGATGGACCGAGGTAAAATTCATGGGCGCCAAATTTGAAAGGTACTGTGAGTTTTACGTCACTAAAATATCCTTCCTCCTGAAACAAACAACATAGCACACAAAATGTCGACAATTGAAATACCTTCCCGCATCAAAATCGAGATAACAGATAAACGAGCACAGCACATTCTCTACAAGTATCTACAAATACGTAAGTCCCCGATTAAAAACCAAACCAGTTATAATTCGGTGATAATTTGTTCTGCTATAGCTTCCCTAGACATGAGTAGTGAGGATAATAGTTCTTTCCACCAAACTGCCGTGGTATTCGATAATGGTTCTGGGGTATGTAAGGCCGGATTCTCCGCGGAAGACACTCCTCGGGTGGTCTTCCCCTCGATTGTGGGCAGACCTCGCCACCAGAACGTTCTGATGGAATCTCTGATCGATGATTGTATTATTGGCGAGGCGGCTGCCCGTAAAAGAGGAATGCTCACCCTAAGATATCCCATCGAGCACGGGGTGGTCAAGAATTGGGATGACATGGAAAAGATTTGGGAACACACATATGAGCTTTTAAGGGCAGATCCAATGGATTTGCCCGCCCTGCTCACAGAAGCCCCCCTGAATCCGAAGAAGAATAGAGAGAAGATGACGGAGATTATGTTTGAACACTTTCGGGTGCCAGCTTTCTACGTGGCCATCCAGGCCGTGCTCTCTCTTTACGCCACCGGACGAACGGTGGGCATTGTGGTGGACTCGGGAGATGGTGTGACCCACACAGTTCCAATCTACGAGGGATTCGCCCTGCCCCACGCCAGTGTTCGCGTGGATCTCGCTGGCAGGGATCTCACCGATTTTCTGTGCAAACTACTCCTGGAGAAGGGTGTAAAATTGGGCACTTCTGCAGAACGGGAAATAGTACGGGACATCAAGGAGAAACTGTGCTACGTGTCGATGAACTATGACCAGGAAATGGAACTCCAGCAGAAGCAGCCAATGGCGCTGGACGATAGCTATGAACTACCCGATGGCCAAAAGATCTGCTTGGGGAGCGAGAGATTCCGCTGCCCGGAGGCTCTCTTCCAACCCAGTTTGCTGGGCCAGGAGGTGATGGGCATCCACGAGGCCACCTATCACTCGATCATTAACTGCGACTTGGATCTGCGCAAGGATATGTATGCGAACATAGTGCTCTCCGGCGGAACAACCATGTTTCGCAATATTGAACACAGATTCCTGCAGGACCTAACCAAAATGGCGCCCCCATCCATAAGAATAAAAATCAACGCCAGTCCTGACCGAAGATTCTCCGTTTGGACGGGTGGCTCCGTACTGGCCTCGCTCAGCAGTTTTCAAAACATGTGGATCGACAGCATGGAGTACGAGGAAGTGGGCTCCAGCATCGTACATCGCAAGTGTTTCTAGGTCAACCTCAGCACAATATCGCCAGTTCGAGTTCATTAATTGTGTTAATGATAAGAAAAAATAATATATTTTTGTATGCTTTAATGAAAGATTGCCTTGTTTTGATTTCTACATGTTATGTAAGTTAAGTTGAATTCCTATCAAATTCTCAAATTGTTATATTATCTTAAATGTTTAGAAATGTGATAAACTGTTGTGCAATTGGAATTTGCCCAATATCAGCTATTTCTGTGTACAGAAAAACTCCTAAAATATTCTCAAATTATTATATTACCGACAGGTTCCAGAAAAGGTATAAATTGCTGTGTAAATGAAATTCCATAAATATCAGCTCTTGAAAGGTAACGTGACACAGTTTTCCACGTAAGATTCAAATTGAAACTCCTTACAGACGATATCGATCTACACTTCTGAAATTGCAATCTTGCCAAAGCCGCTCTTAAAATATTCATATAAACGAAACCATTAGCATCCAATTATGCTGGCAACTGCTGGGTTTTGATTCAAATTAATTACGAATTTATAAAGTTAAATTGACGCATACAAATGTGTGCGATTGCCGCATTTCAGCGAGAATCAAACAACACGTTGTAACCTTAACTTCCTCCCGTCGCACGTGCAACGGGCGACAAGTTCCAACTCTTGAAGCATTCACCTTCATAATAGTAATCTCAATTGTCAAGCCCCATCATTTCGCAGCGTCACTTGGCTTAAAGACCTTTTGTTAAGCACTTCAATAGATTTTGATCACGGATCCACAGTAAAACTTGTTGGAGAAAAACGACATAGCATAGCGCTGAAAATAGCGAAAATAGCGCATCTGAAAACGATTTTTAATACCTATTTTATAAAATTTTAACACCCAGCACCAGTGCTGCCATCGCTTAGCTTGAAAAACAGGACAGATAAGCCACAAAAAACAGGGAAAAAAAGGACAAAAAATTTAAAAAAAGGACAAAAAAAAGGACAAAAGTAAATGCGCCTCCATTTTTCTGTTTTTACCAATGGGTTATATATTTACTTAGTATAAATGGATCTTAAATAAAATTCAATTATGTAATGATCTACTGCTCCCGACTCACAACCTTCTTTGTTTGATCATTTTACCATGGTAAATTTTTGTGCGTATACGTAATAATCTAAAATTATTAAAATAATAAAAGCATTTCAAGTAACTATATTGGTAATACAAAAAAATTTAATCTGCGTCAAACCCGAATAAGAGTCGTTGAAATTTTTTTCTGACAAAAAAGCAGAGAGTAAAAATTGAGAAATTTTTAAAGTGTTTTCCTCTTTTTTTTGCTACAGAAAAAATCGTACCATAAAGAAAATCCATCGACTGCTTTACGTCTCTTTAATAATTTGTAAAAAAAATTATTTTTTAAGAGCCGAACTATAAAAATGATGGTTAGAAAGGCATTTTAGCATATAAAAACAGGTTTATACACTTTCGACTAGCAAAAATAACACTCAAAACCTTATTTTTGGAAAAAGGACAGATTTCCGGATAGGGGATGTTTGAAATTTTTTCCGGATAAAGCCGTTAAAAAAGGACAGATCTGTCCGGAAAAAGGACAAAATGGCAGCACTGCCCAGCACTAATCACGTTGTTTAAATCTTGAAAAAAATTAAAATTACGGACTTAAATCATATTTATCAAAAGTAAATTGGCTGATGTGTGGATAAGAGTTGAGTTAGACTCACATAAAAAGAATGTTGAGCTTATTTGAACCTCGATAGAGGTTTATCTTTACACTGAGAAAATTATATAGATTAGATTAATTTAAATTAAATATCTTTATTTTTTCTCGATATTTTAAAAACAGATAAGCTTTCCAATTTTAAAATTGAAGTGTCCAACTAAAATTTAAACCAGAAATTAAAAAATAAAATAATTATCAAAACGCTAAAAATATTATTAAATATGTAAATACGAAAAAAATTTTGTTAAAATTTACCAATGAGCATAGTTTAGTAACTATACAAAATAGCACATTAAATGTTCTTGTAACAAAAATACTTTTTTTTTTTTAGTATTTAAGATTTTTTCCGAATACGACAAGTTTAGCAAGTGTATATTTATGTAGTAGTAATTATTTTTCGTCACCAAAGTTGATTTTAAAACTGTCACATTTTTTTATATCACAAAATTTTTTTTTAAATTAGTACAAGGGGATGGACGTTTATGACAATATAATCAAAAAAAAGAAAATTATAGGTATATATAGTATACAGTAGTTGCTTTGCTTACAATCCCGGTGCGATTCGTAAGAGTATCTATTAAACAATCATTACACCAGTTTACAAAATAAAATCGACCTCTTCCTCATCGAAGGCAACCTTAATTTTCCGGTAAAGTACATATCTTTGAGATTTTTTATGTTAAAAAAACGTATTTGGCCCTTTTTTTATTTTCTATCTCGAGTTTTGATAACCCGATTTCGGTCACCGTAGACTCATTATACAAGTAATAGAATGTCCTTTATTAACAAATCTACTATTTAATGGCTTGGGACCATTTCAATATTATATTAGCCAATTTAAATACCAATCGATTTTTTTCTGTGTGCAAAACAGCGTTGCTTAAAAAAAAATGGGAAATCTGGAATGTGTCACATTTGTTTTTAGCACTGAATGGATTTTGTAATTCATACCATATATATAAGTAAATACCCAAATAACCAAGGCTTTGCTTGTGATTTGGCAGTTGAGGATTGACCGCACAAGTGCTCAGAAGTAATAAATTTTGTGAATAAAGGATTTTTGTGTATGATTTAATTACTGTGAAATGGACATGGCTTTAAAAATGCTAAATACAATCAAAGAAAAGGAGTTGCTCAAAAATTAATATTAGAATTTCATCTGGTGGCTCTGCATTTTTATTTTAAAATCGGTTAAAAGTGTTATTTTTAGTGGTACTCGACTAAACTGAACCTTTTTATTTTTGGTTTTAGCTTAAATGGCAAAAGTAAAAAACTGGGACAAATTCGTCCTAATACTATGGAAGAATTGGGTCCTCCAATGGAACTCCAAAATCCGGACTGTCGTAGAGCTGGCGATGCCAGTCACATTCGTTCTGATTATTTTTTTTATGCGTTCTAGTTCTGAAACATATCCAAAGAATGTTACCCGTTATTCGGAGCAGAATATATATAGTCTTTTTTCCGTAAGGTGAGTTTTGCTATGACTTAAATACCATCGTTTCTGTTGATGGTGATTAAAAATGAATATTCCTTATAGGGTCAGATAAGACTCCTTTACTGCATTTTTTAAGTTTGAATTTTTAAACTTTGCATTTTATCTCTGAAACATTTTCCATTTTAATTTCTAAATTTTTTTAATGTCTTGAAAAACACTGATTTAATTTAACAGATTATATTAGCTCAGAATCGTAATTTTCACAAAAAATCTGTAGCGCAGGATTCTTAGAGATAGGTCAGACAGACGGACAGATTCTTGGTCTGTTAGTTAGCTAAAACATTTTAAAAGTGCAAGTTCGAACCTTAAATTGGAGAAATTTTTTATATCTTTTTAAATCTGGAATTGTTTAACTCTGAGGTTATTTTTTCATAAACTTTGTGTAGCTGAGATATCAGATATTTTAGCATTAATTAAGGACAATAAATAAAGGTTACGTTTTGTAAAATAGAGTTATTTTCCAAAGACAATTCAGCATCAAAAAGGGAAGATTCTTATTCACTTATTTATTCCGCCAATGGATTAAATCCTTATCTGACTAGTAGGTTATAAACTTCATTCTGAGACTTAGAACCACATACAAAATATTCCCTAAGCGATTGCCTATGCAAATCCTTCTTGGATCCCGAACATAATCGAATGCTAGCTGACAGAGAATTAAACAGCCGCAAAACCCCTAAAACTAGCTCATTCCGAGCATAATTGGTCCTAGCAGCACTATCAAAAAAAGGACCAAGGTACGGAGATTCCTGGCTGGGGCATACATATAGAACAGAACATTTTTCATTTTTTTCAAGTTTTTTTTGCCATTAAGGGATTGTGCTTAGACTTTGTGACTTGGCATGTGGATTACTTTTAATTTTATCCAATTATTACTTTTTATTCCCTTGCAGAGAGTATTATGATTTCAGCCAGAAGTTTGCAACGCAGTGAAGGAGACGTTTCCGACCCCATAAAGTATATATATTATTGATTAGCATCACTAGACGAGTCAATCTATGTCCGTCTGTCCGTCCGTTTGTCTGTCCGTAATAATATTCTTAGGAATATTATTTTGTAAATATTTCTGTATTTGAATATGAACGCTGAGATCTCGAAAACTACAAAATCTAGAAGGTTGAGATTTCCCACACATATTATTGGCTTCCTACGCAGCGCAAGTTTATTTCAGCCAAGTGCCACGCCGCCTCTAACGCCCACACCTTTAAAGATTTCCGAGAAGTATAATTGCAATTTGGTTGTGCATATTTATACCTATCGAAATGTAGAAGACATTTTTCAAATCGGACTATTCATTAAAAAGTTATACGAAATCAAAAAAATGTTTTATATCCATCTCCCTCGCACTCCCTTTAGACGAGTGACGGTTATTAGATAGTCGGGACACCAAATCGACTATAGCGTTCTCTCTTGTTTTCTTTTGAAATGGCGGCTGTGGAAATTTTTTCGTCAGGCTAGATTAAAAAAATCTATTTATCTACAAATCGGACTACATTTTTGTTTAACTCTTATTTGCAAAGCCTGAAAAGCAACTTCACCGTGTGCTATTCGCCGTCGAATGCCATCCTTGACAAACTGGTGAACAACGCTTTGCAGAACTGGAAACAGGAATTCCAAGACTTTGACATAGGCAAATATTACGCCTCTAAAAATGCAGCCCAACTGGAATTGGATATCGTTCAAAAGAGAGCCCTCGCCGGCATCCAGTTCGATGACACTTGGGCTAATCTCACGGACCAAATTCCTGATCATTTTCACTTTGCGCTGCGATTTCCAGCAAAGTTACGAGTAAAAGAGGCGTTTAAAAAAAATACCTGGGAAACAAAAATATTGTTTCCGTCATTTGGTATTAGGGGCCAACAAAACCATGATTATCCGGGATATTTAAGAG